TACTTAATTTCTCTGCTGATGCTGTATGCCATCCCTTTTCCTTCCTCCACAATTAACTTCATGCAATAATTGACAAAACAATGCAACACAGGAGACTTGCTAAACAGCATCTTCTCCTAAAGACTTTTGAAATTAATACTTTATTATTTCATACAAGATAGCAAAAAGAATAAAAATAATCCCACAACTTTTCATAAAAATTAAAAGTTAAAAACTAATCTTATCAGAAGAAAAAAAAAAACAAACTACCACCTGATACTTAAAACCAAACTAAAGAAACACTATATACACACTTCAAAGTAGAGATTATGATTTTCTATTTGATATCAACAGTCGCTCCCCATTCATCATCTGCAAAAAACTAGGTTAGGTCTCCATAGGCCACAGTCAGAGTTATTAGGTAAGTAAATATGCCACTGCTTCCGTGCCCTCCTTTTATTTCCTTGCTTCTTCGGTCTCATCCGTCTCTCTCTCTTGATGCTCTCTTTCCCACCTCATTTCTTTCAACTCTTGTCTGTATTTCCGTTCAATGAACCGTTTCTGATGGGCCATCTGGGGAAAGTTATCTGACACGAGAAAAAATATTTTACATTAATAAACAAACCGATAACACAGGGAAAATTTCATTATTTTTTTTTTAAGCTTTCATGAGATCAAGGTGGGATGAATAATATTATTACAATTTTTACTCATTTCTAATAATCCATAGAAACAAAACGCTGTCATAACACTGGTTTCTTTACGATTTCCACATTTCTCCTGCAACAAAACACTGACAAATCTAATACTCTCAGAAAAACAAAATATAAAACTCTAGTCTAGCAACATGGCCAGGTGTTGCTTAGATTTTACATTCAGTTCCCTTAGCAACAGGTGGTCAATTTTGAAATATGAATGCGATTCTACTGTCAAGGCTGCAAGCTTTTTTTGCCTTGTTCTCACTCCAAAAAGTATAAACCACTGTTTCCAAGCATTGCACAGGCATTCCTTTTATTATTACTTTAGACCAGGAGGAATCCACTAGATGCCCCACATTATGGCAAAGCTCCTAATGGAAAAGTAATAGTGTAGCAGAATAAATTGCAGTAAAATCCATTCTTGAAAAAGTTGGTGTTTAGCTATGTGCCAGTACATAGGCTTAGTGCAGTCTAGGGGCATAGATGGGTGAAGACTGGCTAAAACAGATTAGACACAGCTAAGGTGATGGAGAGATAGCTAGGGAGGAAGATACTTCTGATTTCAGACATTTGAAACCTGGCTGATACACAGGTACATGAGTAAAACAAAGGCTGTAAAATTAGCTTATGTGATTGATCAGAACTGCTCTCCATTTAGTGCACACCTGGCAGAAAATGGCATCACATGGGTGATGACATTCATCAGTATCTGTTCTGCAGAGTAGTGCTTAGACTTCTATCTCCAGCCAGCCTGAAAGCAAAAGGTGGAAGCTTGTGATTGGCAGCAAGTCCTGCCAGGGGCATACAGCAGCTGAGCTCTGGGATCAGTGCTGGCTGCCGTGTCTGAGATAAACGCAACAGGCTGCTGCACTGACCTTTAAAGCCATAACCAAGTCTGGGAAATGTCTTGGCAAATGTCTTCCTCACTAGCTAGAGAACACAAGAGAATTTAGCTGAGGCTGCTCAGGAAGAAGTGCCTAGGCACCAAGAGAGATCTAGGTTCTGGGTGGGCTTTTCCCCAGGAGAGTTTCCCTCTTCTTTCTGAGTCCCAGGCAGCACTGTTTTTTTTTTCAAAGCGAGAACACAGTGCAGAAGCCATCTAATTTGCAGTTTGTGGTAGAGCAGAATGACTTTCTACTACTGCATTTTACTGGCTGGTGAAATGGGTTGGTTTTTTTGTAGGTTTTTTTTGTTTTGTTTTGTTTTGTTTTTTTAGTAATACTACTGGAATACAAAGTTTACTCATCAGTTATTCACAACTTGGGTACAGGAGGGTATATTTATTTAAAATATAAAACCACCTAAACTAAAGTAAATTGTTTTTAAATTGTTGTTGTATTTAAAACTTCAGTACTTTGTTTAATGGAGTTCTGGGAGATTGTGTTGCTCATATGCACCATAAAACAGAAATTGCATTTTCAGTGCTGTGCCTGTAATGTGATTCTTTAAGAACCTGCAGAATTCAGCTTGGTAGCAACCTGTTTCATTTATAACCCATTTATGATGTAGAGAAATAAATTTATGTAATAAACATATCACAACTATCAGACATACGAGCACTGCTCCAAAAGTAATGCCTCCTATTTTGTTTTGTTGGCCCATGAGGTCAGAAGCAGATGTTGATGATATGGCAGTAGAAGTTGAACCTTCCCACCACTATTCTGTTACATCCTGTTGCCATGTGATAGACGGCAGCAGAGGGGCAGTTGGACAGAATACCATTTGACATGGAAGTGCATACGAAGCAATGGTGCATTATTGATTTCTCCCATGAAGAAACAATGCCACCACTGACATTCATTGAAGCTTGCAAAAAATTTATGACCAAACAGTAGATTAAGCACAGTGAGGCAGTGGGTGGTGTGTTTCAGTAGTGGCGACAACTAATCACCTCCATTGATGTTTAAGAGCATGGCATGCAGGCTCTTGTTCATTGCTGGCCAAAGTGCATAGCTGACGGCGGTAAGTGGCTCAAAAATAGTGTTTTGTAGCTGAGAATTTGCTCTGTCAAATAGTGTTTCTCTGATCTTTGTAGTTTCCATGGAAATAAGTAGGAGGCATTAACTTCAGAGCAACCCATGTATAAACAAGTACACAAAAATGAAGTTTACTTGAAATAAACTACATGTATATTCCTTAAAACAAAACAAAAAACCTGAAACCTCTCCATAAATCTTCATACCAGAAAAGGTGTCTGTAAGGCCTATGGAGTCTCTGTCTCTTAAAGAGACTCAAGATTTGACTGTACAAGGACCTGAGAAATATAATCAAACTTCAAAGTAGAGCTTGCTATGAGGGATAGATGGAATAGAGTCCTCAAGAAGTCCCCTCTACCTAGATTATTCTATGGTACCCAAACAGAAACACACTTCAGAAAACAGCAGTGAGAAGTCTTACACTAAAATAGGGGATGAAGTTCACAGCTCTTTGAGAGGCAACACTCACAAGAAAAAACAAAAAAAACTTCAGGGAGATTCTGCAGTTATTTGCTGGAGAAGTTGTGTTTTCTACTTGTCAAATTTACTGGTGGTGCGATGTCTATGCCTAGCAGGTGAATATGAAAGTCTGAAATCCCTGGAATGACAGGGATTCACTGTCTTCTGAAAATTTAAGTCCTGCAATTTCCATATGCAGACATAATAGATTAAAAACCTCTGGCATTTGAGAAACTGCAGATATTTCAATCAATCATAAAAATGAACCTTTAGCCTTTCTATATAGAGAGCTTCTTTTGCTGCACAGAACATGTCATCTATTTGTTTGCAACACCTGCACACCTGGCATTTTAACTCAAGTGACTGGTTTTCATCTAAAATGTCTGCATGTGCTCACTTCTTTCACTTCAGATTTCATTGCAACTGCTCACATGCTGGCATTCCTTTGCACAATTTTGAAAGATGCAAGCAAGGATCACTGTACCTTCAGCTGATATAAGCTGTTGTTAACAGAAAAGTATCAACTTACATTGGATGGGGACCAGCCTGTTGGATTTTAACCTATCTTCTGTAAAACGTATGATCAAATTGGCAACTTAAAATTAACTTTCCTCCTCTTCTGAATTACATCATGAGATAGATAGCCTCACTGTGAGACTTAGAAGGTTTATCCCACTGCATTTTTAAGGATGAAATAAAATCTAAATACATTTGCTGTAACATATCAACTCTCTTTAAAATGACGAATGATATCTGTAAGTTTTTATAAAATTGCTTACAAGTAGTAACAAGAAAATCTGTTACCCAGAAGCTGAAAGTATTCAGTACATTTTGTGTTCGATTTTGCTCCCACATAAAACCTGCACCTCACACTGAAGTCCGAACTAAAAGCAATTTTGTTTGTTGCTCAAATATCTTACATTTTTCAAGTGCATCCATTGCAGCTCCCATTTCTGCTTGTTGGATACTGTGAAAGCCAAACAAAAACATGTTAAATATGATTTAACTTGTACAGAATAAACTGAAGTATCTATTTTAAAAAGTTATTACAAGACAGAGTTTTGTTACAAAACTCTTTGGATAACCCTTAGCCAGAAATTTCCAGAGTATCCATCACCCTTTCTATAATTATGAGAGCAATAGCAGTACAGCTCCAATAGAACATTTTATAACTTAGATCAATAACGTTAACAAAATATTCTACTTTATCCTTTGTTGAAGCTTTTGAGCTGTGAGGAAAAATGGAACAAAATCAGAGGTATGAAGTCTCGAAAGACAAAGATATTTTTATAAACACTACCAGTTTTGGTAGCACAAAATAAGATGATGTATTTTGTGTGTGCGTGGTTGAAAACTTTGCAATTTTAGAAGTCTTTCCAAAATTCCTAGATGTGATAACATCTGATGAAAATTAACAATCTCGCACCCCAACTTTGCCAGCCTAAGCTGAAAAATAATCTAGCAGTAAGGCCAAAGATAAAGCTGTTATTTCCAGCACTCTGTTCTGCAGTTTCAACTCTAAGAGTCACAAATGGGAGATTACTGCTGGCCATCTTGTTCTTCAGTTCACCAGAAAATGAAGTTTAAGATCCAGAAGTATACAAACACTGAGCTCTTCAGGTATTCCTGAGGCAGAAACTCTGACCAGAGGAATGCCCCATAGCGTTAATCTCCAAGGCCAATCAGATTATTCCCTATCTTCATCACGGTGGGTCGTTTTGGACGCTGTCACAGTCAGACAAACTTTAACAACACAGGATTAATTTTTTCCACTATACCTTGGGCCTTTACCACATCCTATTCTTTCCCCTTTGAAATAAACAGCTACTGTGTACGTTCTGGCATGAGATGGTCCCACTGTCTGTAGAGTCCTGAAATGAGAGACATGATTTATTCAGGCAGGAAGTATTAAAAAGCAGAATCTGTCAGTGGCACATACATCACCAAGCTTTCAGTCCGGTAAATACATTTAGTGGAACTAATGCATAGCATGGAGCAAGAGTTGAAGGATGGCTTTATAAACTACATTAACCCACAGATCACCCATATGGTGCGTGTGCAACAAAGAGAAGTAATTTATATAAAATGCATCTCATTCATATCGAATGTACTTATTCTTCAATGTTTAGTCAGGAGCACTCTGTGAAAACAAAACTTTCACTTGTAGGAAAAAATGCATAGTATGCACGAAGTGCTGAAACACTGAATACACTTGGAATAAAATCACTTAAATTACATGAATCTGTGCAATTGCAAATAAACACACCAATATGATTGTGCACTCTATAATTTTAATCACAGAGAGTTGTTCATCTAGCAAAGACTTCATACAGGATAAGGTACCTCACTACACCATGAATTGTCACAGTATTTTTCCATCAGCTTTGTAAAGTTTGAGTTTCTGCCACAAAACAAACTCTCCTTTTGAACTAGGAACGTCTAGGACATGCATCAACAACCACCTACAGGGGAAAAAGATAATTCCCTAGACATGCAATGAATTTGCTTCTTCGGCTGTCTCTTCCTTCTGTCCCAAATCTCTCCCTGCTGTCAGCTTGAGTTCTGTCCATTACCTTGTTTCTTTTTGGAAGAAGCAACAATTTCACATCAATTTTTTAAGCATCTAACTATAGTACTCTGTGTGCTGTGTAAGAATAAACACGAGCAAATAAAAGTCACCCCAGTGTGGCTGACTGGGGTGCAGCACTAAGTGCAGCAAAACACATAACCACAAGAAAAAGAATTTAACAAGATAATAGGAAGATAACAGCATATTACTAGCTCTAAGCTGTAAGACAGAAATCAATTTATTGCCATAGCAAAAACAAAACAAACATTTGGTACTTGATACTCAGTGGGTTTTACAAGAATCAGGAATCGCATCTTTTGTATTCATTTCCCTCACTCAAGATGAAGGTGTAAGCCCTCACACCATGACACTGAGAAGTGATGCTTGCAAAGCATCAGTTACAGTGTTGAAACGATCATATGTCTGAAGAGTATTGTTTCTCACTAACCGAATTGCTACAATTCATTGAGAACTTTTCTTCAGTAAATGTGACAAATGCACTCAGACTTTCATTCTTCATGTATTTTTGATCAAATAATCCCAACAGCAAAAATCTTGAACTTTCTTAGCCTTTAACTCTTCTTTTGGAGATTAATACTGCACACATTCCTACATAACTGAGTAGATGTGAACAAAGCATACAATTCTTAAATTTTATTATTGCCACTAAAGCAGCTATTATCTATTTTAAGACTGAAAGAGAAGGGAAATCCATCTAATCCAGATTTAGGTATCTAACTGAGGCGTCCTAGCTAAAATTCATTGCCCTGAGCTCTTCTGTTACTATACAGGAAGACAGATACAGGGTAAATTGCACACCAAAAATATCCAGGATCATTACTGCCCTTCAAATGCATCTGACTCTGCGGCCCACAAGCAGAATATGTAACAAAACATTTGTTGTGCTTCTGCAGGGATGCAGAGAAACTTCATACTATTACTGTCAAGATACCTCCATCCCATTTGTCTTCATATCCAAATAGCCACTGTTGTAATCATTCCATATAAAATATTCCAATTCCTTACACTGAAGAAATAAAAAATAAAGAATTATGCCAGTGAAATAATTCTATCTGTCCATCACACAAAACCTTTTCCCCTGAGCCTGTAAAAGTTACAATCACATGCTAATTCTGTCATGGTTTAGGTCATCTAAAGCTTGGAAAACAATCGTTCAACATTTTCTATCTTCAGACAGAGACTGGAGGGCTTGGATAACTACAGTAAAACTAAGCTTTGGGAAAAAACATAGGATAATTGATATCACCTTCCTCCTTATAAAATAAAATAAAGATTGATAAGGAGTTGGTATCTGTGAGACACTGGCTCTTACTTGTAAAGAGGAATATCTGGTTCCTTTCCTTCTGTCCTGAGAGTCAAGCAGCACTGCTGAAGCTGAGATTTAGGGTCATTCCAATCTTGATTTAAAATGAATTCCTATAAGAAGTTCACAAAAAATGTTTTTGCAGTTGAGAGAATGTGATAGGAGTCCAAAATATGATAACGTGTTAAAACACAGTAGTGACAGCCAAGTAAGAAACTGACTGGTCTTACCTTTAGTCGTGGAAAAAAACATACATTCATGAAAGTGTGAACATATTCCAAATCTTTATCAATGTACAGGGCAGCAATAAAGGCTGGGGGGAAGGAGGAAAAAAAATAGGCACTGTCATTCATCCAAGGAGAATGTTAATGGCTTGCACTTTTAGAAAAGAGCATCTCTCTCAGTACTCTAAAGCCACATTCAATTATGTTTCACAGCAGCAATCTGATGAGGGGATTATTATCTTGCATACACAGGAAAAAACAAAGTTGACCAAGAGATTAAATGACTTACTCAAATCCACTCAGTCACTTAAGGAGTTAGAAGCAACACTCAGCTCCTAATCTCACATTTTAACCAGCAGACCATGGCTACTTACTAATAAATCACTACTAGGTACCATAAAAGAAGTTTTAGATATAAATCACTACTGTTTGTACGCAATTTCCATTTGCTAAGAGGATTTGGAAAAAGCCAAGGAGCTTGAATGGCTCACAAAATATATCAAAACACACAAAATACAGATTAACTTTCTTTGCACGATATCTATCACTATTTCCACTTTGTCTGGAAATAACTTAGCACACACTTTCATAAATGGAGCATTTAATTTCCACATAGCTTTCCTTCTAAGAGAATGATCTTGTAAAATGTAGTTAAATAAACCACAGAAATACTCACAGCTGATGGCATTACTTTATCTTCTAATAGTGACAAGAACCTATCACAAACACTGAAACTACTGTTAAAACAGCTTGACTCAATGGCAAGTTTCAACTTCTAAGACATTCTTCTGATCGAGGCAACGTTATTACCATGGTCATCACTTCTAAGACTACAGTTTTATATCTGCAGGTACACTTCCCTCATATGCTCACATACAGACTTCACAAATTTAGGTTGATGTTTCAAAATTTGGTAAGCAGAGATATAGAGAGAAGTGATTAGAAAATCTCAACATTCCTTTTTAATAGTAACTTGTAAGTTTTCTGATGGCTTTCTTAAATAAGCCCTGAGGAAAAAAATGAAGTTACGTAAGTGTGGTTATAAAAACCACACTGACTCACATTCCAAGAGATCAGCCAGAGTTTTAGTTCGAAGAGCTACGGGTCTTTTTGTCTTGTCATTAGTGATGGCAAACTCTTGCATTCCTAGCTCTTCCGCCACTTTGGCCTGTGTCCTGTTGTTCACCAAAGAGCTTCTCAACAACTGCAATAGAAAGAATTCCACCCAATGGTAACAATTAGCAATGCCAAAATATAAAAGGTAGAAAGACCTGGGGGAAATTATTCGTTTTTATTCTTGCTGCCTCTCAATTCCCAGTCTATTGTAGTTTGTTTCAGCACATCCTAAATTATTTAGGTAGACACACACACACACACACTTCTCCACATCCAAATCCTCATTCTTTCTACTGCTGATTTTTCCCTTATGCTTCACTTCTCATCAGATTTTAATTCTTTCTATCTCAAAATGCATGCCTTCTACAGACAAGTCTTACATTTAAAATGCTGGTTTGAGAGTTTCTTTGCATTCACATATCATCTCTTCATCAGTTCTATACTTTCTGCATTTTTCTACTGTAAATAGTACACAAAGTTATATAAACTTTATCCCACACAAAATATAAACAAACAATATTCTAGAGGCTGTAGCACAGTCCCAAGCATCCACCAAATAACAAATGGGCAGTAATGAAACACACATCGAAGGAAAACTGTTTAGTTTCAGAACCAGCAGATGAGAAAGATGCTCCATTCATCTGGGCAGAGAAGAAAATGCTTATCTGGATAGCCCATTTGCACTATTACACTGTTCTACTCAAGGCAGCATAGCTGAACTAATGCATCCTCGATGTAGATCAGGCTCTAACATTTCCAATGTGTGACAATGCCCAGGATATCTGATTCTCTAGCAGCCTCTGAAGTGCTTACCTCTGACTTTAGGCAGATTGCTTAAATAAACAGAAATCTGTCAAAGATAAAATCTCAGATAGCTGAAAGGAGAATTTTTGACTTTCAGGTTTCCATTCAATTTTCTGAATGCCTAATAAAGATGAGTTTTTTCTTTTCTTTTTTTTCTTTTTTTTTTTTTTTAAATTAGATAGTGTCGTTTAAAAAATAGGGGATTTCTGAGAAGCATACCTCTCCTTTCCACCACTTATATATAATTTAGAGTCCTGGAGCTGCATATAACATTTTTACCTCTTTGTCTTCCATGTCACATTTGCACAGCTTATTAGATCCAAGTTATATTCTACCTGGCTCCAGAATGTCAACTGAGCTTATGAAAATAAAGATTTATTCTCTACACTTGATACTTCATCTCTGACAACAGATAAGTAAAGAACAGTATGTTCATAATTTGTTTGGCAATGATGTATGAAGCAGATATTCACAACCTGATCTTCATAAACTAGGCAGACTGCAGAAAGGATTAATATCATTCTTCCTAACCTGTGCTAAAACTCATCTTCTGTTTGTTCCTTTCCAAAATCATTCCTTTTCACATCCTTAAGACAAACAATCAATATTCCTCCCAACCAAATCCTAACTACACTATACAACCTATGAGAAAGAAGTGCACCAAAAATCAAGTGACAATTATTGGTTCCATGCAATGAGAGAATCACGATTTCTTTTGCTGCATTCACAGAATATTTACTTCAACGTGACCCAAACCCATGATTAGTACTATCATAAAATAACCACATACACATTACACAGAGCATTAGAGATGACAAGAGCCAGTTGCACTACCACCCATGACTGCAGCACAGTGCTGAAGTAGCTTCTAATACTCAACAGATTTTTTTCTTTTTAAAGATCATTTAGCTGTCTCAAAATACACATGTAAGATTACAATCCCCTTTTTCTTATATACAATTAACTTCGATTTTTCATCACAAGTTATCACTGCACATCAGAAAGACACTGCATAGCCAATCAAGCAGTATCTTCCCATCCTTTACTGACACTGTTTTCTACACTACATCCATCTGATGTTTCATTACTTCAAATCTCTCCTGGAGGAAGGAACCTCATGTTTGCTGTTTCTCTTCAGGTCCCACATAATTCGTGTGCTCTTACTTCACAAGCCTCACTTCATTTGTCCTCATACTTAAAAGACTTTCAAAAGACTATTTTCTTTTCTACTGTAAGAATCCACAAAATTAAATTTCTGTTCTAGGCACTGCCTACCTCTCTGTACTGTTATGTACTTTCAGCATTCATTCTACTCTTTGTAGTTTCCCCTAAATCTTGGGCAATGTACAGCTTGTTCTACTTGCCAATTCACTTATCATTAAATTAAGCAACACAGAGACATTCTGATTGCTGTTCGAGTATTTACTCCCATTAACAGCAACACTATGTCCTTCCTGCCAAGCAATTCTTGAAAGATTTATCTTACTATAACAACACTGATGCCTACGTTCTTAAAAGTCACCTACAAAGGAAAAAAAAAAAAACAGAAAATCTGGATTTCTGCCTTATGTTTTTGTTTCCTCTGTGAAAAATTAATGACAAGCCTCTTTCCCTTTTAATTTTTACATCAAAAGATCAGGCTTAATCAAATCCTTCTCTGAAACAGTGCAGAACAATTCATACAAATGTAAATGAAAGTTAAGAAATGGTAAGGAAAAATGAAAATGAGAGCACACACACTTTCTGTTTCTTTCCCTTTCTTGACTTCAGAAAACCACTTACGCTAGCAAAGACATCTAAAATGTTACTCCCTAATTTTAACTAAAGAACTTGACTTATATCCACAATACATGTATCAATAAGAAAAAGTTAGAAAGACTAAGGAGAGCATCATCTTCTCATAGTACTCAATATGAGCTGCAGTACTAAAGGATTCAGTTAATCAGGAGAAAAAGCAACCTATCTTACAACCCTACATTTACAGTAGTGTATATTATTGTAATACTAAAACCAAATTCCAAAGTTACTATGGGGGATACAGATTAAAAGCAATAGGTAAAACATAGTAAAACAGATAGTAAGAATTTCTTGTCCGGAAAGGTAACCCTGCTACCTTGTTACAGGTTCAATGGAAAATGAAAAAAATTCTGTTCATAACGTGTGTATTTAAATAAATGGTTTTAAACACGTCTTTAAATACAACCCAGTCATATTTCTCAATTTTATAACTGACATCCTTAAAATTATTGATTCCACAGACAACAGAAATTATTGCGCTGAGCTCATAAATCACCATTTCCTACTCACTGCACAACTCACGACTTAAAATTAACCAAGTTTTATTAAGAACAGTGGTTGCTGGGGCTTCTTTTATTAATCAAATCTAGAATAATTCACTTGCCACTTCCATAATTTCAGACTCCATCCCACACTTGCTTTCCCGGAGAGCATGATTGATGGCAGTCTCACCGTTAAGTGCCCTTCATGATGATCAGGGAAATGTATGAATAAGTACTCTGTGGCTACCAACTGCATTATGGAGTCACCCAGGAATTCCATCCTCTGATTGTGGCCTCTGAAAAATGAGACATCAATGCAGCAAAATCAATAAGTACTCAGGGAGGAAAAAACAAAAGCAGCATGCATATACAAATTAAAATAAAGAAAGATCTGAAAGCGTGCCTTACTTATTTTTAAACGCGTTTAAGACAAATTTCCAGTGTTAACGCTGATGAGATGCAAACACAACAGAAACTGCTGTTACACTGACTTTGAGTTGGACAGCAAATCAGAGCAGCTATAGATAAACACAGTTATTAGATTACAGTCTAGGGCAGCCACTGACATCAGGTTTGTGATGGGATGAAGTCTCTAACTGTAACTTCTTATAAGAAAGCGAATCAATGCATGCAAATGCAATGCAACTAATGCAATGACTTCAGTAGAGAAAAAAGGTCTACGTCTTCACAAGAAAAAGAAGGATCAGCATTTAAACCCATGTGAGAGCTTGGACTAGGTATCTGCTGGTATGACTGTTTTCTTTACAACAGGGTCTAGCAGCTCTAGTCAGACACCCAAAGCCTGCTGCACATTATGAGCTGTACACACAATATAATAAAGGGCTGTAGTTATCCCAAAAAGCATGACTTTACTTTTTGCCTCTGATCAAGTGTAACTTCAAGCATGTTCTGATACAGTGTCAGGAATAATGTCCCAAAGTCAACAGTCCAGGAAGCTCAGAAGACACATCAGGATTGTTGCCTTAACACCCTTAGAATTCTCAAATTTTCCACTACTGATTATTATCAGAGACAGGATACTGAGCCACAGAAAGCTGGTGAACATTTCTATTCTTTCTCTTCTGGAGAACAGACAGATCACCTAGAGTTTGTCAATAAATAAAGCAATTTGGTCTACTAACAGTAGAGGCACTGAGCTCTAAGAGGGCCCTTGCCACATACTCACAGAGTCAGGTGGTTAAAGCCTACTGTCCTCAAAGTGAATGCACGAGCTAGAAGTCGAACATGAGTAAAGATGACTCCAATTGCCTCCTCAAACTCTGTAAGCTTTTGAAGAACTGGAGAGGTCTCAATGAGTTGCCTGTCAGTATTAGACTCCTGCAGCTGTAAATAAGATGAAAAGCAAGTAATGACAAACTCGTACTTCTAGATATTTCAAAGTATTTCAAGAATTTTCAAAAGAAAAACAAATCTTCTGTAAAACAAGGTCAAAGAACACAGTGAACAACGCATTTTCTCAGTTATAGTTTAACAGAGAAAACCCAGTTTTCTCTGGGGTACTATCATTCATAATTAGCACTAAAAGAAATTGCAAAGTCTGATGAACTTGCTTGAGATTTTTTTGCTTGCTGGTTTTGTCATTTGTTGTGTGTGTGGTTTTTTTTAAAGCAACACTTGAGGTATTTATAAGATATTGCTTATATAGTCTTACCTCATAGTGTGACAATGAAGCAAGACAAGGAAAAACAAATCTATTTCTCTCACTTTAGTATTAAAAATAAAGTATATAAAAATCACAAAAACAAGAAAATTAAAATGATCACTTTAGGTCACTAAGTGTTCTTATCATTTTCTTGTCCGATGTCCCTGGTGTGTGACATTGTTAAATAACTTCCCAGGACTGGTAAGTTACTTAGGCATTTCCTCCAGCCACCCTAGGCATTTGTCTTGTATACCAGTGCCTTAAAGGAGAAGGCACTCTGATGAGGATTCTTGTAATAAGTGTGCAAGCATATTAAGGACTTTCCTGATAACTATCTAATTCTCCAGCTATCAACTGCAAAGGACTGCCAAGTTTTCTGTTAAGCATACTTAGTGATCTACAGTAGTTTGTGCAAATCTCTTTCACAAGCTTGATCATTGCCACATGAAAGCTTTTGGCATTCCCAGAAATGTTCAGCAACATATTCCAGATCCACTACTTTTTCCTAAAAAAAACAGCTTACTCAATTTTGAACTACTGCTGCCTGTACTGAAACAGGCAGTGAGCAAATGGCTAACTGCTCATCTACTCATGTTTTGTATATGTCTCTTCCAGGCCCTCCCTTCCCATCATCTCTTTCCCCAGCTTGAAGATCACAATCTTAACTTGCTTTTTTCAAAGAGAAGCTCATCCATACCTTTGATCCTTTTTAGGATACCTTTGCTGCCTCACTAGTTCTTTCTTCCCAGCATCTTTTATGTTTTACATTTCCACTATAGTCTTTTCTCAAAATGTGAAGCAGAACACCTGATAATACCCAAGTGTACACAAGCCACACTGTTATCACCACTTCTTTGAAGTGGTGTTAGGTTTTTTTTGGTCTGTTCTCTGTCCCTTTTGAATTAATTGATAACATTCAGTTTGCTTTTTTATTTAAACACCACTGAACTTCTACTCTGTTTTTCATAGGCTACGCAGAATTTCATCCTCTTTTTCATAGAACAGCTACTGACTTTTGTATCCTGACTGTCAGGCTGCAATTCATCAGCCACACGACATCCCTGCTACCCTGAATAATTTGGTACTGTTAACCAACTGCCACCTCACCACTCCTCCTTGTCCCTAAAGCGTGGATGGGAACTGCTTGTATTTCAACAAAGATACCTGGGGAAATCTGATGCTGATCTCCATTCCTTGTATGACGTGGTCATTGTAATCTACCCGTTTCTTATGTTTCAGCCATTCCTTTAAATCTGCCTAACGAGTGACCAACTCACTATTTTGTTGTTGCTTCTGTTTTACTTACTATTTTCCTAATCACAGTTTCCACTGATTTGACTGCTTCATCAAGATAAGGTTACAGGCCTACAGTCCTATATATCTCATTTGGAATTACTATTATTTAATTTGAATCTTATTTGCCATATTGTAATAGACACTTTAAGAATTTTTCAGGATAGCTCTATTCAAAGGCCAGCCTGAGGAGACTACATATCATTTCCCGACACATAAAGAACTAGGATGGCTTCTGGGACATGGAAGAAAATACGCTTTCATCATTCAGAAGGCAGGAGTAAGAAATGACAAGCTGCATATGCTATATCCAATCTCTAAAAAAGCATCTAAGCCTTCCTCATGAAAACTGAGGCAAAGAAGATAAAACAAAAAAATAAAGAAATTCAGAATAATAAAAGTTTTGTTGGGAACCGGTGTCACCATTTAGCATTGCTGGTGCTGTATTTTTGGGAGTTTATCTTCTCACTAACACTCTTTTCTGTTTAGTTTTGTCTTATACCCAGCATAGAGTTGATTTTAAAATGCTTCAGCAAGTGCACTGATTTGCTGCAAAAGATTTGTTACTACTAATCTAATCTATGTAACTACAGCAATAACCATATAGCTATATGCAATTCTTTAGATGAAGGACTCAAAGCGTCCTGCTGAGGAGTGTGCTTACAAAAAATGTTTCAAAGGACTCAAACTGACTGCAAAAAACATCAGAGATTTGTTTGGACAAAAGAAACACTCTTAGATGTCTGTGTGATCCTGAAAACCTTACTGACTGGATCACAGTGTGAATACAGATATTCTGGTGGCACTCCTGCACGCTTGGAAAATGTGAAGATGGGGAGCCACAGTGCAGAGAGGTTCTGTGACTTGCTTTAGTTCTCATCCAGAATTCACACAGGGGGCACAGAGTGAGAAAGAGTTGTCCCAGCTTCTGGCCTTGTAAGCAAACTGCTTGAGCACTTCATAAATGAATGGAAGATACATCAGCTTTCAGATACCTTTGAAATTACAGGTATTAAAATCATAGAAACAATGAACAACAAAAAAAATCCAGCACCACAATCTTGAGACTTCTAAATATTGTGCCTTTCTATTGCTAAAGTTTTGGTCTTAATTTCAGGTTAACAAAATACATACACAGACTGTTTTTGTACCCTTCCATCAGCTTGCAGAAGATGAACAGGCAGATGCCAAGATGTTACATCTCACTAGATTTATCATATGAGAAGTGCAGTTATATATCAAACGTGAGCCAAGGAAAGGTGGATGATTAACCCAAAGAAAGGCAGAGATTGTTCCTTATCCAAAAAGATCACAAAGGCAAATACATACACTACTCTGGTCACTTTTTAGAAAATTTTCTGAGATGTCACTATGCTGAAAACCTATGGAGAAGCATCCCTGAAAATAGAACAGAGCTATGAAATTTATTAAAGAAAGGAATACACTTACTTGGAGTGGGTGTAGTGGATAATTAAGCCATACATCCCGCAGGTCCTGCAAACATTGAGAGATGCCTTTAATGCTCAAGGGAGTCATTTAACAAATTCCACAGCACTAAATAAAATGTCATTACTTGAAATACTGAACTATTTCAGATGCTGACACTGCTTATTGCAAATTCAATAGTGCTGGCAAACTAATTTTTAAAATCGTGTATTTGCTGTTCAAACTGCCTGTAGTTCTCCCAATTAGCTTGTGTCAAAGAGGAGGAAGAATCCTTGAACCAAATAGAAAGTGGTTAAAGGAAATAATAAAAAAAAAGAAATAATTTTTCAGGCATGAGTTTAACTTTATTTGCATTCTTTAGAAGCAAGGTTGATTTAACCTGAAGTGGGAATTAAAGAAGACAAAACCCTCTTCGCTCTTGTCTTTCATACAGGTTTCCTTCGTTACTAAGTGCCTGTAAACACTGAGTGACAGCAGGCTTCAAAATTTCAACTACAGTTTGTTATTTCAGATTTTCAAGATGGAAAAGATGGTGTAATTAATCCCCTAATTACTGCCTCATGTATTGTCCCAGCAGAATGTACAGGTTATTTCCCTTAGTCATTATATGGGGAAAATTCCAACTAAAAGTGACCAAAGACAAAATGTGCAAAAAAGAATCTGACTAACAGGGTGTTTAACCTATTCCAGAATACCTTTTTCAAAGATACACCTAAAACTATTGGGGTTGTATGATTCCCTTAACTTATGAAACAGAACAATTACTCAACATGTGCATCCTTTCTCCAAACTATGCTATCCGAATGGATCCACAGCACCAAACACTTGTCAGAGCAGCACTGCATGGAAGCCTGCAGGTTTCCCACACCACACACCCTTCCCTCTCTAAGCCAACCAACACACAGCATCCCTGAGGGAACACCATGAATTTCTGTGCCTGAACCAATACAACTTGCTGTCATAAACATGCTATATTAAATTTAATTTCTAGGAATTAAGTCCCAGCTGTCTTCTTCATTTGTGATTCCCAGATAATTTATTTTTTTATTTTTATTTTTTTTTAATGAAAGCAGAGTCATAAAAATACATAAATACCTTGTCATTGAAGAGCAAACGTCCAAATAATTGTTTGGCTTCTTCAAGACTACCCTCCAGATAAACTGCTCCTATATAAGGAGATCAATATGTTAAAGTCCAATAACACACTTAGTACCTAGAAAATACTAACCACAAACATTTTGTAACAGCATGCTGTGGTAATAATCGAAACAGAATATCAAATTTTTTGAGAAATCTGAAACACATTAGACACCAGCATAAATCAATGGCTGTAAAACGCACAGAAAAAGCTGACACAGTTAAGTCTTTGAGAGAAAAAGATACATCCAAAGAGCAAAGTTTAAGCAAATTAGGCCAGAAGCAATCTATTTCTAGAAGTAGTCTGCACTTTTCCAGCTGTCTATACCGTATGTGTAGACAGTGACAGGCATTAAATACATTTCAATATGCAGCAAATAGTTTTTATTTGCTCTGCACTTTCAACGTTATATTCTACACATAAACATGTCAGGAGTATTCCAAATTTCAGTGCCTCCCCAGTATCACAATACATTATCTGAAATGGAAACAGCATCTCTCGCAATTTTTAGAGACTACTTGCAGATATAAATATTTACTGCATATTCAGTCCTTGCTATCCCTCCAGTGGCATGTTTATAACAAACTGTGTGACTTGTGCTAGCAAATAACGCCTTTTGTGTGTATCACATGCACTCTGTATCTGCACAAGAGCTTTTAAAATTTAGTAACAACACTTGGTCCTCTGATTATATTTTACAGAAGGGCTTCGGAAAATCTCTACCTAGTCTTTGCAAGCACACCTGCTTAAAAGCAAAGGAAATATACAGCTATGTGAAGCACAGCAACAGAGTCACTGTTCCCACAAAGTGAGAACACTGTATTACTGTGCTTCCATCCCTTCCCTCCTTTTTAATGCTCTCAGTAGGTCAGCCACTTTCTTTAGACTCTGGAGCATGGCTTGGGAGTTTATAAGAGCATCTTACCTAAGGCACTTTATGAAACCACTGAATTTCAAGCAGGCCCTAGACAGTACACTTACATTTTTGCTTACAATTTTCATCACAAGGAAAAACTATCAGACTTCTAGAAGGGTTCTCAAGTAGGTGATTCAAGCCCCACATCCATTTTTACAGTCCTTTTGCAAGGTGGCCAGATTTTTGCTATGATCCTGACAAAAGCTTACTGCTCAACCAGCTTCATGAATGATTTCATATTGGATGTTAAACAGCAAGCCTATCCTCTCACAGAATTCTCATAGAATCTCAATGCTTGTCCAATAGTTCTCTTTACCATGTCCCAAACAGACTGAAGGATATAAATGAAGCCAAAGATACATATCTAGACCTCATTTTCTGTGGTTTTTTTATTATGTTGTTTATTCTTTTTTCCATTTTTTATTTTTAAATTAAAGATCAAAGCACCCCAGAGAAAGCAAAAGAGTTAAAACGACAACTCTCATTTCTTGATAAGATGAAATACAATTTGGCCCAAGGCAAAACACACAAAACTTGCCATCTAAGCCTGCTGTGATCTTTTTTTCAAAGCAGAACAAAAAGCTTTGAGAGCCTGGATAGAATGTAAAGACCTAGAACATAGTTAAGCCTTTACCATAGTTAGTATCACATACAGTACATCTGTACGAATAAGAAAATAAATCATACTCATAGTCAAGTTTGAGTTGTTTCATACAATTGAATGCATTTATTAAAAAAAGCTACTTAAAATAGAATTTGTGTGGACATAAGCAGATTTCTCCCTTTCTTTTTCCTGGTTTCAGTAACTGTGTTCAGGCACCCCTGACTTCTCCCATGTAAATTTATCACAGACAGTCACTGATCAACATCCTCCTGACCAGCATCAAATTTGACCCAATTCCCCTTCATCCTCAGCTAGTGGGTTTTAGTAGCTTAATGACATATTGCCATGCTTTTTTGTATGTAAGAAAAATTGAAAACGGAAAGACAAAAAACCAAAACAATTACTGGACAAATGTCACGCTTAACCCACAGGTGATCAGGGCACAGAGGAAATGGTGGACTGCTGTATTCTGAAAGCAAACCACAGATTAAATGTCAGGGCTGAAGCAGGACTCCCTGCTTGCAGGCCTGTGCAAATACTAATGGAAGCAGTAAGATTCCATCCTGACAGGTGATGGTGGACAAACTGCTTCCTCCCAGAAAACTGCACATGCCAGTCCTCAGTGGTGCATGAGTGGTGGAGTCCTACAGCGACAGGTGGAAATGCCACACCACAACATCATGAAATGAGTGCATATTCTGTATGTGGGAAGCAGAACACTGAAGATGAGATTCTCCTTTATAATACTGCACGTTCATAGTGTTACACACATGGTATATGCACAAGAAATGAGAAGAGATGACAAATTTAGGCTTTACTGTTACCTACTCTTACAATCACAACTCAGGACAGACCTACATGCTATGCAGACATAACAAAACAGAGCTATTTGCATACACAGAAACATGTGCTTTACCTATTAGGGCTTCAAAGCAGTTGGCCATGGCATGGCGGAGATCCGATTCCCTGCAAAGGTCTGGACCGTGAGCATAAAGCATAAATCGATCTAGTTCCAGCTTCTGCAGAACATGTAAAAGAGTCAAATAGATGGTTATAAATACCCAAGAGTATAAGTGCTAGTCACTAGAGCTCATTTACAATGCTATTACATAGCACCTGGATTTGAGGGAACATTAAAGCTGTTCTCCATAGTTTCAGCTCGGACATAGACTTTAAAGATAAAATTAGAACACTTTGTTTACAAGAGGCAAACACTGCAATACTGGGAGAAAGCCAGGAATTGCCCAACCAAAGTTTCAAGGGACTCCAGAGCAAAGCATGTTACTAGTTAGATTTAGGAAGGAGTTCATAAGGAAGGCTAAGAGTGTGACAAAAAAACATCTGATACCAGACAGATGTTAAAACATGCCATGTTTCTTGCTATTAGTTAGCCCCTGCAGGCTTTGCTTTCAGAAATGCCAAGGGGGCATTCAAGAGAACGGGACTTTATGCTCCTACAGGAAGAGGATGAGAGAATGGGAACTCTGGTAGATACAATCCAGTAAACATCTGACTTATTCCTTTATGAATTTCAACAGGAGGTAATACCAAAAGCCTCTGGGCATTGAAAGGTGAAAAATGATATTTTAATCCACAGTGCCACCTAGCTTTCTTTTTCCCTTCAACTGAACATCATTAACATTCATGTTTCATAAGCCATAATTCTGCTTGCCAGTCAGAATCTTAGGTAGTAAGTAAGATACCTTATATAATATATGATAATTCTGCTATAGAAATGCAGGCCAGAGCTACTAGCTCCTCTTTCTGTATTCATCTTTTTGACACAAGCCCATTATTGAGATTTTTAAGGAGGAGAATCACGCATCTTGCAAAATTTGTATGAGAATAGGTACTTCTCAAATGGGTGCAAGTTGCTACTGATTGATTCCTCATTAACTTTGAACTTTGTCTTTCCAGAGCATATCTAAGAGGTAAAAGTGAACAAGCTAAGGTTTTGGGATGTGTAGTTTTAGACACACTTCAATTTGAAAAAAAAGAAGTCTTCCATTTTCAGTGAGCAATTGCCTTTTCACTGCTCCTGAACAGAAGGAACCACCATTTACCACTTTATACAGTGCAGGAAGCACTTGCAGCACAGACAGCACCAAAGTGGAATATTAGCTTCTTTATAATGAATTTAAACTATTTAAAAACTATTTTCATTTGTTTGTATTAACTCTTTCTTCCAATACCCTAGCTCCAGTTTCAGAGATTGCATTCAGCACATTTTGCATGTTTTATCTGCTATTTCTGATTAAGACAAAGGGCTCAGATCATTTTTTAACATTTCTGCTACAACTTCCCTTAGAAGCTACAAAAATTTATCTTCTGACCTTCAATTAAAATAGCATTCCATAGACTTATGAGAACTTAAGGAATTGAGAATGTTATTGAGGAAGTAAACGGAACACAACATGATACTCCTTGGGTTAAAGGGCAAGAAATCAAGGTCACATAAAATGCACATGAACATACAGATTTTTCAAATACTTCCAGTTCTATCTAATACAAATAGAGTTTGAAAAATGTCACAAATTTTCAGAGGTAGACCATTTAGAATGACAAATACTGTGAACAGAGCTTGAAGAATATATGAACTCGCTTGATGTTAGTTTTAAAAAATAAATTCAACTGTCAGACAGTTTAATACCATTTTTAAAAACAAAGCCCCAATTGAACTGTTTTTCAATCAATTCATGTCTATCTAAATCATTAAAGAAAGCTTTGGAGGAAAATGATTGTGTTCATTCCCTACTTTGCATTTCTCTTGAGGTTTCAGCAAAAAGGCATGATAGAAATCATGCAGTTTTTTTTGCCAAAATCTCAAGACTGTATTAAGCTTGTTTAAATTATTATGTGAGTATGAACAGACAAGATTAAAAGAGACTTGAAAACCATCTGCAATACACAGCGGAGTAGTTGGGGGGTGGGAAGATGTGTGCACATATGCATAGAGTAATATATTATACCACTAAGCCTCAGTCTAGCCTTTATAAAAATGCTACCAAACTGTCTACAAACACAGACCTATTCAGCTTCATATGCCAAATTTCCACACACCAGTATCATGCAGAAATGTAAAGAAAAGCTTCCGTCATTCACAGAATGAAATGAAATTCAGGGGCTACTCAGTTTCTTCCATGATTTTCTTTACTTTCTACTAGAACACTTCCTAACATATCACTATTTCACAGTTCACAGTAAATTTGAAGGTAAAGTCCTAAGTTGTGGAGTGGAAAAAACAATCCCTTTCTCTCAATCTTTACACTGTTACTACTGCCTACTGCCATATTCTATCAGGCAGTTCCTTCACAGTCAGCCAGTTTGTTAGGGTTTCCCTTTCACTCCCACTACTTTTCTGTTATCAGTTTTGCCATTTGTGCTGAAGTAGTTAAATAAAGAGACAACTTCAGCTAAACATCCTAAAAACCTATTCTGCTAGCAAAAAATTACTCAATTACTCTTCCTAAAAACCTGCTTTTAGAGTACTTCCACATTGAATAAAGCTCTTGTATCCCAAACCTTGTGCACAAAAAATTGCAAAGATTGATTCTTGAAGACGACAGATCCTTCGAGAAGCAACTCAAGCACTAATAATCTTGTATAAAGGTATCAAATACATACATGTGAATTACAGGAGCATACCTTAGCCAACATGGCCAGATGTTGGTTCTGAACTATAGCAGTGCGGTACGTAGCTAATCCTCCCTCCTCCAGAGTGGGAAACAGGTAGTACAAGTGGACACTGGCAAAACAAAATCAAATCAGACGCTGGCAGCACTCGGTTAAAGATGATTCACATATGTCTTTACAGAAAACTGCTTTCCCATCAGTTCCTAGGTAGAAACACCACTTGAAGGTAAAGGAAATCAAATATTAAAACATTTCTCAATAATACTGACTGAATAGCAGAGAGAGTAGGGAAGGAAGAGTTCTGATTCTTTACCAGACAGCATATAATTTCCAAACCCCTGCAATGACAAGCAACATCATCATCTGAAGCTCTAGCAGCAGTGGGCCCAGCAAGGCTGACAGACAGAGAATGTTGAGGAGCAAAGCAGATGGGTACAGTGCAGGTTGAAGACCATGACTACAGTGCTTTACTGATGATACTTAAGATACAGTATCATAGGATACTATGATATCCTACATATAGGATATTATTAGCAAATAACTGCTCTTAAATGCCAGCAAAAACAGGTTGCTTAAAAACAACAGCATTGAACAGATGCTAATGACACTAAAAAACAGAAATCAACAGTCTGTATTTACCATATCTGTAAAGTCATTAACATCATAAACAGAAAAATGAGTGAAAAATCACAGGCTTCCAATTGCCTTTAACAACATTTATCATCATAAAAGTAAGATACTTCATAGAACAAAAACAAAACAAATGCAGTGATACAAACAAGACCTGATTAAAGAATAACTGATTCTGACTCTCATTGTACGGCTATCTAACCGATGTCAGAAAAGTTAGAGATAGCATCCCACAACTGGATGAATAATTAGTGTTCCCCTATGGATGTTTCATTAATCCACGAGAAAAGGAAGAATCTGCAAAAGGGTACAAAATTTAAGAACAAAAATTACCGTGGAACTTAGAGGCAATCTTATCAAGGATCATAACTCACAAAAGCAGAATCCTGACGTTGTGTTGGGGAACAAAGCCTCAAATTTAAATAGCTGCTTACATGCTTTATTGAATAGAAATGCAGCTTTTCTTAATTGAGACAAAAGTTAGCCCAAAGTGAAGTGATGGTTGATGAAGAAAGACAATGAAAAATGTAAGACAATTCATTTAGTAAGTCTTCCATCTTATCAGCCTGTACTTTTCTGTGAGAGAAAAGGCCATGGGTTTTAAGGGCAGCAAAGACCTTTATAGAGTAGAAGCTTTTAATACTGAGTAGCTAATGGCTAGTGGAGTCTAATAGTGAATGGAGATATGAGCAATTTGGTTATTTTTATCACAGACTTACTGTAAAGCTTTTCTTTATGCAAACAAGACTATTCCCTTATTAACAATGGTAAAACAAAGCAGTCAAAATGGATAATAATCTTTATTTTGTGCAAATTGGTTGCACTAAAAAAAAACAAAAAAAAACCAAAAAAAAAAACACAGTGAAGGCAACTTTTACATTATCTCTGTATTATTCACTAATTTCTGAGTACTTGGGATGGACCCAAACTGGAGCAATTTTGATGAACCATGATTTTTTGCTATTACTTCTAAGTAATTTAGATTTGTCCTCAACAAAATCCTAATAGCTAGAAACTAAGAACTGCAACACATTCAATATTAGCAGTAAATGTTCCTCACTAGCAGCTAGAGAAAAAGAACACATGAAAACAAAAATCTTAAAAACACATCTTAAAAAATCTTTTTTGTAAGAAATTTTAAGAACTTCAACTTGTCTGCAGGTGAAATACTAATTTTTAATAACCTAAAATTTAAAGCACACTCCATGAAACGGAAATGGTTTTTCCATCAGCAGCACTAGAAGCATTTTCGACAGGAGTTTGTAGATGTGCAGCTAGAACATCAAGGGACTGCCAACATGGACAGTAGTGAAGCACGCACTACAAAGCTGAATAAATCAAATGGTAGGAGAATAACATACAAAAATGAGGGCTATTCAAGAATTCCCCATTTACCTTGTTAAGAACTCCACCACAGCATCTCCCAGAAATTCTAAACGCTCGTTGTGGTTAATCCTGAAAAAAGTATTTTTTAGGTATTTTTACTATCAGTTAAATATCATATGCTGGTTATTTACATAGTATAACTAGAACAACGTTGAGTTCCTTGCTAGCCGGATATGAATAACCACTCTTACAGCCTTCTGCCACACTTCAAGCATGCACAATCTTTTCCAAAGCAGGAAAACCACACGAATCATGAAACTGATGAGTGACTCCAGTGTCTTTGAAATTTTCCTACATTTTATTCTAAGACAGCGTCAGAGCTTAAGAAACATAGAGAGGAAACAGCATTGGCATTCTGTTGATTGGCATTCTGCAGTACCCTACTGAGATTGAGCTGCCTTGTCCAGCAGAGGACATCAGGCAATTGAAACAAATGACCACCTTCAGTTTTCTATGTGCAACTAGGGAAGCAAACGTAATTAACATCAACACCTGCAGGGTGTGATGATTCTGCAGCAGATCTGTTGGTATGGGTGAGCTACCAGCGAGTAAAAATGCTTTCATTTTTCAAGGTACTTTAAAATACCATACAGACACGCACACTATCCCGCTTTCTGTAATTTCCTTTGAGCTCAAGAGGAAAAACTACTGGACAAGAAGATGCATTCATAGATGCTACAAAGCTAGTAGAACTTTATATTCCCTATGTTCTTCCTTTCTTTTATGTCTGCCCATGTTTTTCCTTTGTTTGACATGAAGTTTCATTTACTTATAAAACAAACAGGACACAACAACTGAAAAAGAATTCAACTTTGTCTCCAAATATAAACAAATTTCTGCTCTATATCTTTAAGCATGTAAGCAGCATCATATGGACTACACACGTGATTGTAAGTGAATCAAAGCCACAGCCACAGGATTTCACTTTTTTAAAAAATTTAATATTTCTCAAGTGTTTGACAGCTTTGACAATAATTTGCATCCCCTCAACAATTACATAGTTTATGTGCCTTCTGAAACAGCAGGCCTTTGTTATGGGCTGAAAGAATTCAAGTACCTATGCTGTTAACAACAAAGTGTGATGAATACAGCAATTACATCACATTGCACCACAGCAGAAAATACATCTTTCCGATGCAGGATTTTATATCTGGTATTATTTCATGAGAATCAATGCAATTTAGCCTTATCTCACTTTGCTCTAAAAGAGATGAAAGAAGCTTGAGATTGACTCCCAAAGAAAAGGGCACGGTCTAGCTGAAACAGCATTTGGAGAAGACTACAACAATCCTTTATTCAAAATTCAACTTCTCCCACTCCCCAGCTTCCTCCAAAACGATGACTATTTAAAGACCAAGTTATAACATTAGTTAACCAATATACCCTCTATCCTTTAGTATGTGAAATCTAAACGTGCCAACAACTGCTTCTTGCATTATCTCTGTCAGCTTTGTTTATTCAGTTTGGCTACATATGGTGTCTGTGGCTATTTATTTGCACAGAATTCTTAGTGGTTGTTTAAACGTTATTAAATAATGCCAATGACTCAGCTTTTTGTCGTTATCTGTTTATGCATGTCTTTAAATTGGAACAGTACACCAGTGAAGCCCAGACTGGACATCACACTCATGTTAACAAGATGCCATGCCAGGAAAGTACTGCTATGAGGAAACGTGATAGAGAATCCAATTTATAGCAATGATAACAATAGCAACAAATCTTATTTTTCATTCTGCAGAAAGCAAAAGATAGCATTTTAGTTTTCCTCACCTCAAGGATAAAGAGAAATTGTAGAACTAGCTGTTAAAACCTTCCTCAGGAGGTCTCTGCAGGTATCACCAAACATTTACTATATCACTGCTATACAAAATTCAGCATATCCCCAAAAAGTTAATTCAAAAGGATTTTCCACTAAAATTATTTTCCAAGGCTCTTACTAACAATAAGTTCATAGATTTTTCTAAAAACGTCTTTTTAAAACAGTTTCTCTCCTTGCAAACATAGAATGTAATTAATATCCTCTACAAATCTAAAATCAATAATTATTATTACCTGGAAGGAGCTGGATCATCCTGTCCCAAACGGGACATAATATTTATCAGGGTGTTTATTCCTAGAAATATAAACAACGTGCTATTAAACAAAACACCTCTAATGCAATTCAAATAGACTTAGAAAGTAATTACTCAAAATGTTGCCTTGTAATACCTGTAACACAAGATCTTCCTATTATTTCTATTATTTATAGAGCTTACTTACAGTGAGTACTGTCTTCACAGAGGCACTCTGCCTAACTGACCATAGACTCACTACGAGATGCTTTTATATGTTTGTGTTCAGAGAGTAAGACAGAAAGCCAGCAAGGAAGGACATGCCAAACATTATGTAAACAGTAAACAATTAAGTTAATTACATCTGAATGTATTTTTAAGTGGTAAAGAGTACTCGGCAGCACAGACCATGTATTCTCACATTAGGAAAATACTTGTACTGAAATCACCTCCAGGATGTTTACCGTATTGAAAAGCAAACTAAGAAAACAATACTTGCCAAAAATTAAAGAAAATACATCATTTATCACCTTTGCTTTTTCACAGCTAATCATTTGTTAACTAATCTCCAAAATTTAATCATTTAGAAAGGTTTCACTGGTTTCTGTGCAGAACCATTGAAAGACTTCACTGAAGTGAGCTCAGAAGAGCAATGGCCAATGAAACAATAACGGAACTTCTTTTTACTGACTAAGGATGAAGTGATAGGAAGTGGTAGTGGTGTAATCCATACCTTTTTTTCTCATATGCATATGGTGAACTTTCCTGTCTCCATACTTCGGCTGTCGAATCCCACAGTTGGATAAGGAATTTCTGGCATGGTCTGGATTCATTCCAAAGTTTAAGTGATGACTTGGATGAGTCATGGCAAGCTATAACATAACACACACAAAAATGTCTTAGGCATAAAAAAAAACCAACATATTAGATTGGTACCTAATAATTGTTATTTTTTAGTCTGAAGAAAGGCTACAGAGTGAAGTCATAAATTATTAGCTTGGTTCCAGCAATTTAAATGTAGGATGTATGATTTCAGATGTCAGAAAGAAGTGACACGCTCAATCATCACTTTACCTAATTAACTTTCAGTAAGGTTGTGAGTTTTTTTAAAAAAGAAATAAATTAGCTTTGAAGAAGAAAGCATGAATTGCCAATTTGCCCTAACTTTTTTGCTTACCAGCTTTGCTGACTTCCTTTAAATGCAACTGCGTTTGATTATTTAAAAATACATTACAAAATTGCAAGAGTTAGAAAGGATTCTAGAGATCGAGTCCAACACCCTTGCTTAAAGCAGATTGCACAGGTAAGTGTCCAGATGGATCATTCTAACATTCATTCAAATTCAGGCCTATCACTGAGCAAAGATAGGGGTATGCCTAGATGCCTCTAATTTATTCAAAAGAACTGTTGGGATAACTAATACTTTGAAAGATCTGCAGTGCAAATGACTGACTATTTTCAAGCCATATCAAAGCAGTTCATTTCTGTGACTTTATATAGAAGATGGGATTACAGACAAAATAATTTGAGGAAGACAAAACAGCAAGCAATTTATTTTTTGCACATCTTACCTGCAGCAAGCACCTATCTCGAAAAGTGTAGCCTATCAACTTGTCCAAATGCATCAGACACTGATGGTAGCGAATATGGTGGGTGAGGACAGGAAGCATCATTGCGTGCTAAAACAAACCACAAAAAGAAGCTTTCAACTTCAGTGTACAGAAGACATTGTTGAGTAAGTTATAAACAGAAACACATTCCATTCACGTGACCCACTGATTTTGGTTTAAACGACAGAACAAGAGAATTGGAGTTTCCCAATCCCCATCGTCAAACATTTGCCCATCTACATAATCACAGTGATGACCTGTATCAAGACAAATAGAATAATAGATACATAATAACAGCCTATTACCAAAGCACTCTGAATGAGTTTTAAAAATGTCTAGTCAATGGAAAAATCCATTTTCAATAAGCTGTGACTGAATACAATGCTAGGTGCTTCTTCACTTTGAGGAAGAATTAAGAGCTTTTTGAAATGTCACAGTCTGGCAATTTCTGAGATAACGTGGTAGCAATCGAGGAAAGATTGTTGTATGTAGGACACAGATAATCTTTTCTGTTGGAGGAAAATTTAAATTAAAATTAAGCTATGTTGCATCAACCAAAGTCTCCCTCTTTCAACGTTTTAAAGCAGTATTTGTACACACTGTACAATTTTACTGTTTGTGAATGAATTTGTATTTAAATAAGTAGTATCAGTTTACCAGTACAGCAGTACAGCAAGTATAACTACAGACATCAGAAGTCTTGTATAGGAGTGAAAAGTGAGAGCGCTACAAGAACTTTATGAATGAAACCACTTCTGTGGCACTGATGTCAAATCTCATTTCATTTCTGTTAGTGGCATTATGTGAATATATTCAAAATAACAATGTGTCTTAAGGCAATATAAATCCAAGAGCCACCCACATTAATTTCAGGAAAAAAAAGAATGTATCTGATTACATATATCGTGTGGAGAGCTGAAAAAAGAGCAAAAATACAAAGAAGGTGATGTGTGATTTATAACGTGACACAAAGGATTTCTGCATGTCATTAAAGAAGGGACAGCAGAAAAAAAATCTTGAGAAGTTTGAAATACTAAGAAGAGAATAACCATTAGCAAAGATTTCCACTTAAGTAAAAGAAAGTCAGTTCGGTTCTTTAGTACTGAATACATAGCTAAAAGGCAGCAATGTACAGTAACTGGTTAACAGTAAGAAAGCAGCTCTCTGGATCTCTGAATGGCAGAAAAAAAAACATAACCAAAATGAATAAGTTATTCTGAAATTGTTTCCCTGTTACTCATTTAGAGCCACTTAGGGTGATGCACAAGCCGTGGGAATATTCCTCTCATCTCCACATAAACTCTTCAGAAGTGCTTCCTATGTTTTCCTTCATGGAAGAAATTATTTACAATAAAAAGCTTGCTTCCCTGCCCGTATGTTCCACTGCACAGACTGCCAGACAATAAAGTCTCTCAAGCCAAGTCCCTTGGTTTTCTTTACACTTAGCAACCAGCACACGTGGCCCAAAGTTTGAGAATTGGAATATGAAGTTTTCAACTATATCAGCCATGGTGAAGTGAACGAGGAATAAATATCTCCTGAGAGGTACACTCAGAGAGGAGGTCTCTGATTTGACTCCTGCAGTTATATTGACAAAGTGCTGCTTTCACAGCACTAAATACTTGATTGATTCAATTAATGTGTGTCATGTTAGATTATAGCTATTTGATGTTTCTGATGTTTTATTTATCTCCATAAGAAAATAAAGTGGAGGCTTTTAAAGTTGCATTAGTCTAAAAGAACAGCTAGTGATTACAAAAAATTTCCACTGAAACAGTACGGGTACAGAAGTTGCCCCATAACCTTTATACTTGAATCAGGTTATAAACATACTTGTAATCGTTATGTGTAGGATTCTAGCTGTGCTGCATTTTTTTTCCTGCTGCAGCTGCCATGGCAAGCAGCAGACTCTCAGAGATGCCCCAGCTAGTCAGCAGTGACATCCTCCCCAAGGCTGCTAGGAGGCAAGCTGCCAGTCTCTGGGTGGGTGCTTCTGACCTGAAATTACCAAGAAATCCAGCAAGCCAACATAGTTTCACATTAAATCATTTCTCTCCTTATCCTGAATACTCAGCTGTTGAAGGCATGTCAGCAGCAATACAGGATGTGAAGAGTGGGTATCTTTTTGGTGGGACCAGTCTGCACCAAGGGTCCCATCTCAACACTGGCCAAGAATTGCACTTCACCTACTGGATAATTTTAAATAAGCCTGGAAGATTGTCACTGCACATTTTCAAACCATCACGCTCACCTTTCTTCCCCTCTCCCTCTAAGTATTTCATTTTGAAAAATCACAAAGACCAATGTTACAGCTATGTAGAACTTAGAGCAACTTTGAAACTTTTAAGTTATTGTAATAGCTTTCATCTTCTATCCACAATGCCTTAAAAAGGTAAGGAAAACGAGCTGTTTATAACTCGCTACAGATTCACTCTGCCCACAGAGTTGATTTACATCTATTTAGTTTTAACATGGAAAAAAGCATGTAGTAACAATAGCAGCCTTTCATTTTTTACAGATATACTTTTTACCTACTCTTGACCTCTCCAAGAAATAAAATCAAAGGACTTTTCTAGTAGAACGGCCTGATTTAGATATTCTGTTTGCAAGTGTGCTCAAAACCACAAAATAGCTTCATTCCCATCATCCTTTACTGATTTGTTGTCCTTCAACAGCAAAACGAAAACCGAAACATCCAATGATACATTAAAAAATTAATTTTAAGATGATATGAATAACAAATAACTATCTCAATTCTCTCCTAAATTAGAACTTGATATTGTTTCCTTAACCTATAAAAATAGACACAGTTTACTATGAAAAAAAAAACACAAAAAAAAAAAAAACCACAAAAAAAAAACAACACGGTAACTTTTCTCTGCTACTATTTATTCTTTGGCTTCAGAAGCAATAGTAAATCAAAACAAACATTCCAGACAGGAAAAAAAAGCTATTTTAGTTATTAGTTTTTTTCTCTTAAACAAGTTTCCCCTCCAGCCTTAGGGAGGTTTCAATACATCAACGCAATTTCTAATTACACCTTTACTAAATCAACCCTAAGTTAATATTGATTAAATTTTTAGTCTTCAATTCTTAATCAACACCTCCCAAACACCAAAAATGACCTAATTATACTACCAGTATATTTATTTGGCTGTTACACTTATTTGAGTTTTGCTAGTACAATATTAGACCAAAAAATGCTGGTAGCTGTCATCTGCTTTGAAACAGGATCCAGCAGAGATCTGTACCTTGAAAATGTCTCACATATGGGACATTAACTTATCTGAAATACACCTTCCTACTGAAGGTTATCTTTTTATAATCCATGTTTGGTTTTTTTGGTTTTTTGTTTTTTTAACCTCTTTTCATGTTTCAGTGAAAAAAAATAAATTAGAAATGCTTAAACAGAAAAATATCTTAAACTAAAAACATAATACCAACCCAACTGATGGATGCAGAAACTCTTGATGTTTGGCACTAGAACCAAGACACAGCTGATATAAGTCAAGGCTGCTGCATTTCAGACTTCCCAGTCTCAAACTGGCCACTCTTGCAACCCCCCCCCCACACCACTTTCTGCTTCATGTCACTCAAAAGCAGCAAGCCTCTGCTAGAAAATTAAACCTATAAAATAGCTTTTTATAAGGAAAGGAAAGGAGAGGAGGCTAGAATAGTTCCCTAAAGCAACAAACCATGTTGAGGCAAAAGTAGTAACTTCCAGTGGTTGGTTCCTCAGCATATAATCATAACAAGCTCTTACACAAAGTAAGTGGCAGCTATCAAGAAAAACAACACATCAGGCATCTCTACAATCCAGTCACCTGGCAGACATCAGAGCGTATTCCTGTTTTCCAGAATCCCTGGCTGCTCAACTCGACAGTCACTTCACGTCTCATTGTGTTCTTCTGCCGGATTTTCTGCAGTGCTTCCTACACAGGAAGAAAATAGAGTTCTTGCAAAGAACTTTCTACAGCAAAGCAACATTAAAGAACATATATACATTCACAATATTTGAAGTTCACTTTTGACAAACAGTTTCTAAAACTAGTCCAAACCTTGTAACTGCCAGCCACAGACTGTGATGGATGTGCCTGAGAATAGCACAGATAGAGGATTTTGTTAGAGTGAGTGAGAAAGAAGATGACTACAGTTTTTCTTGTAGATAACAAAACAAACCAGTTCTACTTGTACGTTCAAAATGATGCATACACAAGCAAGTTAAGATCCTTATAATGAAAACAATCTCTTAATTCAAGTCTACATCCATATATATTTCTAGTTAGAAGCATTCAGTAGGAATAAGGTAATCAATAAATTGAGTAAAAGAAACATCTTGTTAAAGAATGCCAGCTACTACAGAACAGTTCCTGTTCACTACTGTCAGTATCACCAGTTTGGGAAATTGATTAGCATTCACTTATCCTGGAGCCTATTACAATCTTTCAATACTATTACAACGAAAGAACTAAAATTTTTAAAAATCTGCTTTGCTTTGACCACAGTTTGTTCAGTGTTGTGTCAACAGTGGTTTTGTCTGTATACACCATGAAGTGGATGCTTGGCTTCTTTGACAGAACCATTTTTAAGAAGCACTTTCTGTAAAAATGGATGAAAGAAAAATAGCTGAAATAAATCACCTCCAGATCAGGATCTCCTCTTTGTAATATTACCAAGTCTCTGGAGTATGGAAGCTCTTCACATAGCATGCACTTAAGTAAAGTCTTCTTTTCTCCTTAGCATACAAAATTTCTCAAAGCTGCAATCCATCCTCCTTCTCCTCCTTTTCCCTGCAGAGCACCTGCTCAAAGCCATCTATTCTCAATTCCCAGTCTGAAGCCTGTGAACATCTCTGGACAAGAACAGCTCTGCCTTCTACTCCTCAGAGACCCATGGAATGGCTCCAAGAGGCACATTTATCCAGACAGCTTCATCAAAGATATTTCTAGACAGAACTGAGATGTCTAGAATAGGAGGCTAGTTACCCTTTCATAATCAATGAGGGATGATAAACTGCCTCAAAAAATGCATTTCTCTCTCCACTAACTTCAAAGCAAGCCTTAGAGTCTCAACTTATGCTCCTACTGTAAGTACTAGAAGGTAGGTATAAAGCTTCTAAGCACCACCTTATCACAAACAACATCATGCAATTACATGCAGTGGTGAGGACAAAGGGAAGACAAGTGCCTACATTACTTCAACCCCTTGAGCATCACCTACAACTTGCCTTTCAAGACTGTGCCATTGGGTGTTCTCCAATAGGTGCTGCAGTGCTTGCTGTACTTTCAGGCTGACTAGTTCAGGAGCACTCCAGCATTATTCATAATACGCGACTATCCTTAAAAGCATTGGTACAATTTAGGTGCAGCCCTACAGCTCCTACCACTGCTCTCATGTTTATTGACACCCAATTGGCAAAATGTATTACTTATCCTCACATGAAGCTCCTGCTTCAGCCCCACACATCTATCTGATTGCAGACAACTACTTGAGAAATCAGCCATCCTAGAGGGTAGTCTACAGACACAGACCATAACACCATACAGTCAGTGATAAACACCAAAAGAAGCATTTTATCTTTTGAAGCTAAATTATCACCCCCCTACAACGAATCTACTACAATTTTATGTATAAGTCATTCATTAACCCCTAATAAAAAGATGCCCATAACACAACAGTCTCCCTTTCACTTGCTCTTCTCTGTGAGGGGAAAGCTGTAGTAAAGATAATTCTATCTTCTATAGGGTCAAGACCAATTTCTCCTTAAAATTTTTGCCACTGCTGAGTTTTTAATCCTGAGTGGTTCTTCTCCCCCACATTTACAGGAAAGGAAGCTAAGGACTTACTTAGTACCCATATAAAGTAAATGTTAACCCAGTCTTCCTCACGCAATAGCATAGTACAGGCATACTGTCTAATATACCAAACAGCTTCCACATCCACAGCATTATCAAACTAAAGATAATTAAAATAAAAAAGCTTTTTAATAAATAAAACCACGACAGCAGTTAATTCCATCATCTACCAAAGAAGTTCATTTCTCCCCATACAGATTTTTTAAGTCAGTCAGTCAATTATGAGTGCCTGGTAGAGAAACCACCAGATAAATCAAAGATCGTAGTCCATGATCTTAAGTGATGGATGCCTTAGGACAGAATACTTTAGTCTCTCTTTGGGTGACTATTACTCTAATTTTAATTCCCTATTGGCTGAGAATATACACTTAAGAATTCTTTATTTCTCAGTGCACTGAGGAGAAAAATGAAAAAGACAAAAACTCAAAACACACCTCATTTGTCATTAAGTTCTACTGAAAATAAGAGCAATCAGATTATTCCAATTTTTTTTGGTTTTTTTTAGATGTTCTATTACTTGAAGATCTTAAGGAATTCACTAAGACTGCCTATTAAATTTGGGCTTAAAACTATGCACAACCATGGCAGTTTCTAATCTCAAAAGAGAAATGTTTAAAATTATGAGACACTTAAAAGAGCATTCTGAAATGAAAAGTCCCTCTCTATGCTAATTCCTGAAACCACTAAAGGCAAGGGTTATAAAGAAGTTATGGTTCCACAAGGATCATTTTCTGTAATTGGTTAAAACTTGCAGTAGTCTGGGAGTTGAAAAAAGGAAAAAAAAAAAAAAAAAATCCATTCACTAGCAAGCAAGGATAAAAATAAAATCTGTATTAACAGCCCGAAAAGAAAACCTTTTGTGAAGGATTTCTATTGTTTCCATAAAAAGGGCAGTCACACAGCTTTACTCCATCCTGAATTACTGTACTCAATTATCAGACACAGGAAGGCCCAGCATACCTCTCTCTGTGATAATTTTTGTTTATCAGCTTGTTTGACTTTGGGACTGTTAGCTAGCAGGTGACGCAGTTTCACATAACTCTTCCACAGTTTTTGATATCTGAAGGACAAAAACAGAAAACAAGCATTTTAGTCAGTACAGTAGAAGCCTCTTGTAGTTTGGCCTTCTGAACTAAAATACACAGATCTATGGCATCATTTTACTCCAGAAAAATCTCAATGCATTTTCCAAGAAAGGTGGCAGTGCCTCTGCAGTTGCTAGAGTGACACGATCGCAACAGCAGTGTGCACTGTGAGGTGAACTGCAATGCTCAGGGCAGAAGACAAAGTCTCAGATACCCACCCACCCTCACTGAAGGACACTCTGCTCACTGAAAAGACTTTCCTACAGTGTGACATCTCAATTCATGCAGGTGAAGGTTCCCTCTTCACTTCCTATCACTCACTGAAAAGCAGTTACATTTTGCAAGGTGTCTGTCATTACATCGGCCGACACATTCCAATGAAGTGCACAACAAAAAGGTCTACCAGCTGTGAGCTGCACACATTTATTTTATGACAGTGAAGTTTTATACCCTGTGAAAACTGAAAGCCAAGTTTTCTATGGCTACCATATATGTATTTGCAATACTTTCTAGTTTTATCCAAACACCTTGCCTGTTCATCATTCAGCAACATCTAATTACACATGTATTTATATAACAGCTCATCTGTAGAAGCCCTCTACTAACCTAACACTGATTTTCACAAACTAAGATGAGGATATTTCAGCCTCAAAATGAACTTGACATTTTGATGTACAACATACATTTTACTACTAATATGGGCAGAAACAACTGTGTCATTGCACTTACTTTTGAGAAATAATGAACTGATGACAATATGAAAAAGTAACAAAAATTCTGTATTAGAATGTCACAAAAAACATACTATGGGAAATTCTTTTCTGAGCATTATATATTTCACACAAACACCAGAGTTAAGGCTGAGATTTATCATGACACAACTTTGTTACTTTGATTAAAGAAGCACATCAAAATTCTCCAGACAGGTCTAGTGAGGGGAAAAAAAAAAAAGCTTAAAATTTCTGTGGCCTTTCCTTTTAAGAAAGTCAAAATACAAGATGCTGGAAAAGTAATTTATGTGATATTCTAATATTTTCCATTAAGAAATTTAGCATCAAAACAGAGATAGTTTGCACATTCTCATTTAATTTTCTCATAGGTTAAAAAAAAAATAAAAATAAATCAAGAAATTAATAAATTAAAAGTTATACCCATAGTTAAAGAGAAAGTATGTTGCTGTTTAGATAAGCACTCAGTCTCCCCACTCCTGTGACTTATCTGGTGTTAACACGCAGGTTTAATTTCACATATCGTTTTTTCGTCATTATCAACATATCAAAGCTAATTAAAAGATGTCAACAGCATGCAGAATTTAGCAATATCTATTGTATTGCTAAGTTAGAATCCTTTCAGATTAATGTGGTATTTTCCTCATATAAATGGAAAAACACTGAAATAAACATCTGCTGGTGATTTAGAACTATTCCAGATATTAAATCTAAAATTCTCTGAGTTCTAGAATAACGCATGTCATACATTCACATGAGAGTGTCTAGGCCTCAAAAGTGCAAGTGAAATTCAATGTCATTAAGTGACACTGGAAGAAAATCAAGAGGAAAATGACAATCTTAACTATACTTGCACAAGAGATGGGCTCTGTATTTTCTGTCACCAGTCAGAAAAAAAAATACCTGTGAATTATTGGAAAAGTTCCCTGAAATTGTCAAATTGTCACCAAAAAAAATTGTGAACAAAACCCAGAAAGCACTTCTACACCACTACACAAATCTAGAGTGACACAATTATCTGCTATGTCTGAACTTCTAGTTTCTTCTCCACTCCTTCACTTATGTTCATATCTCTAAAGAGACAGAAAAAGATACAGGCAAAATTACCATGGATGCAAAAGCTTTAAAAATAGTAGACTCAACTTTGCAAGTCATAAAAAGAGACAACGAAGAAGAAAACAACAAGGTGCAGAGAAACCAAATTCCATGAAGAAAGCAAAAATGAAATGGATACATTACACATTACTAAACGTAAGAGCTGAAGAGCATCTAATTAAGTCAAATTAAGTTCAGCTGCTCTGAAACAAAAGAAATCAGTCATTTTTAATATAATGCGCAGCAGAACAGTTATTACAGTATTTCCTTGTCAGTAGACTAAAAAGGTTCAAGCAGCAATTTGAGAAATTTAGTGAAGGTAGATTCACTCAGGGCTGTTAAACAAAATGATCTAAATAATGCATCCTCTAGCTCAGAACTCCATATTCTACACTGCCTGGAGAATGGTTTTCCCCTTCTCCTGTTACAATAGTCTCCCTAAAAAAAAAAAAAAAAAAAAAGAGAACTGGCTGCTCAAGGAAATAAAACAGAGCTACAGGAACCTTTGGTCTCACCTAGAAGAGTTATGCTCTGGATAAGAAGTTTGCTATTGCACATGCATCAGAAGTTCTTGAACTAAACGAGAAAAACTTGTATCTCATTCTCAAATTTACAAAAGCTGCTATTCTATGCCATAAGCACTATGCTTTATGTCAGATTGATAAGCATATTTAAGTCATAGATGACACTGAGTTTCTGAGCAGAAGATAGGAAGAAAAGCATCTTACTGAGGATCTCCAGCATAGCTGAGTTGAGCAGGTCGTATCCCAAAGTGGACAATAATGGGGAAAGTAATTACATCAGGATTGAATTGTTCACGGTCCAGTTGATCAATACGAACTGAGCTGGGTTTCTAGGAGAAAAACAAAATATACCTAATTGACAACAGCTCTATGGAAATTTTTTTTGTCTCCAGCCTACATTGTCCAGGCACTATGAAATAACAACATTTAAGCTTATTAAAATACACATAAAAATAATCCTTTGTACAATACTATTTTTCAATGGCAATGATTGAAATAAAGTTAATTGACTTAGCTCTCTCAGAGAAAAAAGAGAAGTCTATCTTCATTTTGAAAGTTAAGAAATATACAGTTTGATCACTTCTGAGAACCCAATGCAGCTTTCTTTGGTTGAGCATCAGGACTAGAATTCTGGCATCCAAGCTCCCACATGCCTGAGCACTTCACTAAGATTAGGTCACTTCTCTAATTTTAGTTCTCTTCCTGATTTCCCAATGTAAGCAAAGTCATTATTAGATCCATTCAATCACACAGACTGAACAGCATAAGAAAAATTTAAAGTGGAATGCTAGATTGATTCATACAATGAGGAATATGGTTTTGTATAATGAGAAGACTGCCATCCTTCTTATGCTTCAAAACATACATTTTTCTATAGTTAAAAAGGACAGTGTAAAAGGAAGTGATTCTCATTTCATCTTTAAGAATGCAGAAAGAGTAATTACATGTCATCGCAGAAGACATTCTGCTTACAGAGCTCTTGATAACTTATCTAGCATTTAAAAAACTCTGTTGAAGTTGCAGTTTGTCTCCAAGTAAGTATTTTTCCCCATTACCTTCCAACGTGCTTTGTTATATGCCTGTTTACTCCCTACTTCACAATCAGCTGTTTGAGGCCAATATTTTCTGCTTGTCTAAGCTTTCAGAAAAAGGACATTACTTCTAGTTACCTGCATCTCAAAACTTCTAATTGAGCATCGTAAACTTCTCAAAAATGAATTTCAGAATTACAGAAACAGCTCCCATCATACTCTTCACAAAATAGTAAGAAGTGCATCAAGAACAAAGCTTTCACCCTTCAAACCACCTTTGGAGAACTGTTTGCAGGAATCATTTTCTGCATGGATAAGCAAAGCCAATTCTAGAAATAAAGGCAAACCTCCTCAGGTGGCAAAACTTCCAATCTATTCTAGAAAAAATGATTACCTAAAACTTGGGACTTGCAGATAGAGAAACATTTACCAAGGGAAAAATGCTTATCAGCTTCCTTTTGGATACGATGACAGAAAATAGCTGCCCACTCAAAAACTAAGTTACTCCGCTGATGCTAGCAAATTTTAAACAAAGAGGAATAAAGGTTTTTCTCACAGCACTTCCAATAGGAGGAACAGGGCAGCAAAACCTAATGAAAAACACATAATGAAAAGAGGATTTTTAACAGGCATAAAGAAGTTCTCTTAGCCAGAACTTAAATTCTTGAAGTTTAAGTGTGTCTAGTTTTGTGGGCTTTTCTTTTCCAGAGTTGAATTGAAAAGATTTGGGGGGTGTCGATTAGCGTTAATCTTCAGAGAAGTTGCTTGTTTTTCTCCCTCTTAATGTTAAAAATGTGAAACTTTTTCTTTTTCCCCTCCTTTTTTCTACTTGTTTTTTAAAAGATATGGTTTTACTTCACAGCAACACCTCTGAGAATCAAAAAGACAGTATTATTAACAGAACACGTCAACAATAATTATACTATCTACACGGACTAAAAAACACTACATTAAGGTACAATACAATGCTTTTGTATTGAAATACTTCACATTTTAGACATGTACAGACAAGTAACCTGATCCTGAAAAGCAAATGTGAAGAGATTTCAACACATCTGTTGCAGGGTGCACACCTGTAGCAAGCTCTGTGTGTAAAACATGTGGGCTCAGGACCACTTAAATCAAGCTGTTTTAAATTATCATAGAATCATAGAATCATTTGAGTTGGAAGGGACCCTTAAAGGCCATCTAGTCCAACTCCCCTGCAATGAACAGGGACACCTACAGTGAGATCAAGTTGCTCAGAGCCCTGTCCAGCCTGTCCTTGAGCGTCTTCCAGGGATGGGGCATCCACTACCTCTGGGCAACCTGCTCCAGTGCCTCACCATCCTTATTGTACAAAAAATTCTTCCTTATATCCAATATAAATCTCCCACTTTTAGTTTGAAACCATTTCCCCTTATGCTATCACAACACACCCTTCTAGAGTCTGTCTCCTTTTTGATACTGAAAGGCCACTATTAGGTCTCCGTAGAGTCTTCTCCAGGCTGAACAGCCCCAGCTCCTTTCGCCTGTCCTTGTAGGAGAAGTGTTCCATCCCTTGAATCACTTTGGTGGCCCTCCTCTGGATGCACTCCAACAAGAGCCACTCAATTATGCAGTTGTTAATATGTTCTTAACTACTAGGACAGAAGAACTTATATCTTGATCACAATTGTTGCTTCAAAATGGTGAACGTTATGAGAGGTATAACCACTCTGTGTGCCCCATCACTCCCAGATTACGATGAACACCAGCTTACCTATGGTACTGTATAAGCAGCATCAAAGAAATACACAGTATAAAGTGCGTAGCAGCAAACAGGACATAAGCAAATTAGATGGTTTTTGTCAAGATGTTTATCCCTCCCTTCTTTAAAAAGGGCTGTCAGAGAGCACTTAATAATCACATTCAGAATCCTGTTTTTAACATCTCCCCCAAACCCAAGAAAATCTAACAGAACAGTGCCCCATTATCTTTGTTTCCTATTGCAAACCTCATCAGTCAAAGCTTTGCTCAGCAGAAGGCAAGGTTGGGACTGCATGCAGATGTAGCACAAAAGCATGTTACAAATATATGGATTTGTACTGGCAGAAAAAGCAGCAGCATTTTGAAAAGAGTGAAGTATTTAAAAGGATTAAAATCTGAAACTTTAAATCTCTTATAAAAATTCTTCACTGAACTAATGAAACACGATGAATAAATTAAAAAGTTATAAATACAGCTGAACTATTGTTAGTGGTTAAGTGGGACATATGCCTATCAATTTTTTTCCCCTTTAACATGCATAAGATTCACTTCACATTTTATAGAAAAATTGGATCTGTTCAAAAGAGAAATTACTTCTGAAGTGACATTGTGGAAGAAAGCAGCAAAATAAAATTTAGTGTTTTTACTTTGTTGTGTCAAGTGGATAAAATTGAATTGAAAAGCTGTCATTTTCTAAAAGTTTCACATTGTCTCTCTAATAGAACTGTTTTATCTTCTAACCCTATAAAATGCACAGAAAATATTTTAAACCTCATTTTTCACTTACTTTCATATTCAACTGAATATATGGCAATGAAAAAAAAATCCACAAACTAAGAAAAATATCATCACGTTTGTCTCCAGATACAAGTACGTACTAAGGATGGCATTATAACATGACAACTTTTCAAAGTGTTGCAGATTTCTTTTATGTTTATGTATTTTGAGGCCCGTGCATCTTTGAGAACACTTTGTAGAATAGAAAGTTTGTCAGTAAAAATCACACAAAACCTCAGAATTAACACTGCCACTCAAAACGTGTTGCCTTGTGCACAAAGACATTTGCAGTTCTTTGAGGGATGCCACAAAGGAGTGCATATGCATACCCTCATGTTAAAGACCACCAAGTTTTCAGCTAGCTGAAGTCAGTGTACCTTTGGCAAAAATTAAATTAGTGAGTACCATTCAAATGCTGATGACTACACACTACCGAACAATTTGTATCACATAAACCACTGGCAAAATTAAGTTAAGCAATTAAGGCTAACAATTTCTATTGTAAGAGTCTACCTTAGTTTTAACCACCTCATGTAGAATTTTCCACACTGAGAGTTCACATGTACTCTGTATTTCACGTTCCCACACATGGCCTTATTTTCCTTTTGGTGTAGGAAGTTTTACTCAGAACAAAAACACTGAATGAAATCAAGGGAAAAAGAAATTAATCTGACTAGTTATGATTAACTAATTTACTACATGTAATACTACCATATTTAAAAATAGGAGTTTGAGATACCTATCTAGAAAGGTGACACGGCTTCAGTTTGGGGAGAGGTTCTTTAATTAAATTCCCTTTTAGGCAAGATTACACCACAATATTTTTTTATGAAGAAGCTGAGAAGTTGTGTAATAGTTAAAAGTAGAAAATGAAGTCGGAGGAAGAAAGGTCTTGTAACAGAGAAAGCTGCACGAAACTCCAAACTGAGGTCCAAAACGTGCTGCTATTACCGAGATACCATCTCTGTGACGCTGGCCAAACCACGTGGACAGAATTTTGCAGATTTTTGGAGGCACTTTTTAATCTTTCACACAATTCTTAAGTGTGAAATTCAGAAAAAAAACAGCTAAATCTCCACATACGCTGAAAGAAGCCAAGAATTAATGCTCTAAATACTAACTGTTCCAAAAATTATAAAACAATATTAGTTTCAAGTTGGACACTGGATATGTGACACTGGAAGCACGTATTCATTTATGTACATGAAATTCTTCAGTGTAAGCAAGAGCAGTTTGAGAAATGTTGTGGGGAAAAGATACCTCACAGAAAGGCAGAACATTCTCTATATTCAGGGCAGAATCTATAGAGAGCACATTACATAGAGGTAGAGTGTCAAAACAGAAACATGAAATAGCATAGCAAATAATTACTAATTCTCTGGTCGTATGTCAGTGAAAATAGAATAAGATCACGTACATAAAAACCATCAGAAAAAATATGATTGCAGAGGAGCAAATAACATTTTCTTATACTTAAAGTACAGCTATTCCATTCAATGTGCACATTGAAACCATGCTTCTCTGGAAATGTGCCCTTGGGTAGGACAGCAAAAGATAAAACTAAAACTCTTTCCAGGGTTGGAATAATGCAATAAACTGTTCCTATAGCAATCTGCAACTGTCTCTGATCATCTTCACCCTCTGCAATTCAGACTCCAAAAGATTCTCTGAAACAAGATATGTACATGCTATTGAGTTATTAATTTGTTTTAATTATTTGTTCTACCATGCCAGGGCTGGTAACGATCATCCCTTTGCATTCCTCTGCATATTTCTGCCATTCCAGCTCTTCCCACTGAAGCATGTTGGCAATCTCTTCTTCAGGCACCAAAGCTTTATTGCATCGTAACAAGTAGAGAAGAATCTGATGCATCGACAATACTTCCTTCCCTCCATCTTAAAAACATAATAAACAAAATGCATTTCAGATATTCACTCCTAAAGCACAAGGAAAATACGCAGCACATAAAATATTCAGATGAGCAAAATAAAATGCAAAACGTTTAAGCAATTTGACAAATAAGGAAGCAAATGTTTTACTGATGAATAGTGCACATACATAAAACACACTTCTTTGCTAAACTGGAAGCAATAATGGTAACAGTAGCAAGAAAAACAGTTTCATAGTTCTGTAATGCTGAGGTTTCTAACTTGCCTGAAAAATTTCTAAATGAGTAGGCAGAACAAATCAGTTACGTAGTCCGGTTATGCCTTCCTTTTCACATTTCTACCATTCCTTTTACAACAGAAGTTAAAAAGCCTTTAGGCGCCCAAGCAGCTTTTTAAGGACCACTCAAGATTTTACTGGATACTTCTGGATGAATGTGGTAAGTTATCCTTGCATTTTGAATTCATCTGCGGTGCTTACATGCTGCACCTGCAGTAATGAAGACTAAAGAGCCTCGTGCTGTCTTCTGTCACCAAATGAATTGAGAGCACGTGAAAACTGTTAAATACTTCCGAGACCTCTGAAAACACACACAGCAAAGACTTCTTGCAGGGAATTAAGGCAGTGTAATAAACATCTGATCAGTTCCAGGGAGCCAGTCAACATACAGACAGCAAAAGATGAGTGATAGTCCTGACAAAATACCACTCAGAAGACACCGACTATTCAAATTCAGTATGTCTGCTCATCTGAGTAAGAATACGGATATGTTGCTACAGTGCTTTAACTCTGAAGGAGGAAGTCAGAGAGATTTGTGCCAGCAATGGAGAGTTTATCTACAGTTATAGAGGCATCTTAAAGTTTCATCCCCGAGAGAAGTAAAAACGTCCATCTCCCTTCCAAGAGAGCCATAGAGTACACACTCTATCACTAAACACACAACAAAGAACAGAGAAAAAGTAAAGCCTTCAAGTGCTATGAAGGATAATGCCACAGCATAGGGAACATAACCCCAGCACACGTAGAGAGTCTCGCAGAATCTCAATGTCACAGCAGCGCCGCCTTTCACAAGACACTTGAGGAAACAAACACTTCTGTTCCAACTGGGATTGCAGCACTACTCGGTAACAGGAAAGATGTAAGGGAATAACGCAACTCAGCCTCCTAAAACAATTAACCTCATTCAGCAATTTACCACGACAGCCCAAAGGACCAACTGGACCCTGGAATGCACCAGGTCCAGCACTGCCACCAGGCAAGGGGAGAGGTTGTCCCACTGCGCTCTGTGGCTGCACCTCCAGCGCTGAGGGCAGGTTTGGGTGTCACAGTATAAGAAGAACGTGTAAACTATTAGAGCTTGCAAAGGAGGTGGGGGCTTACAGAAATGGTAAAAGGTCTGGAGGGCAAGCTGTGTGAGGAGCAGCTGAGGTCCCTGGGTTTGCTCAGTGCAGAGCAGAGGAGCTGAGGGGAGGCCTCATGGTGGCTGCAGCTCCTCACAGGGAGCGGAGGGGCAGAACTGAGCTCTGCTCTCTGTGACAGCAACAGGGTCCGAGGGGCTGCATCAGGTTGGGGGTTAGGAAAAAGTTCTTCAGAATGGTGGGCATGCAACAGGCTGTCCATGGGTATGACATAGAGTTCATAGATTTCAAAAAGCACCAAGAGAGAATATAAAATGGGGAAAACTAACCCCAAAGTTCAATGGAAACAGAAAATACTTCTGAAGAGTTAGAGACATTTTAAAAGTTACTTTTCCCTTCAAATTAAAGAGGAATTCTATTTGCAAGACTTTTGGCTTTGTCAACTGGTTCAGACTGCTCTGCAAGAAGCACACCACATCCAACTTCTGAAACAATGCACAGCCTTACATACTGAAGATTCTACAGGAAGGGCACAAGTTGTAGCCATTTGCTACAGAACAGTTCAGAGACTGGACCTCTTGAGTCAAAACATGCCATAACTGGAAACTTATAATAGTTTTACAGCCTTTCATTCCTTAATACATTTTCCATCATTACAATACAGCAACTATTCTGCATGCCATGCATCTCTGGCACTCAGCAAACCTGACATGATTCACTCAAAGCTACTCTCAAGATCTGTCTCTGTAAGTATCAAAACACTGAAAACGTGGGCTGTGAGACAGGTTGCTCAGAGAAGCTGTGGACGTGTTTGAGGGCAGGCTGAATGGGTTCCTAGGCAGCCTGATCTACCCACAGCAGGGGGGTTAGAACTAGATGATCTTTAAGGTCCCTTCCAACCTAAGTTACTCAATGATTCTATGAAAATCTGACATCTTAAACCTTGAATTTTCAGACCATGGTAGGAAAATAAGAAAAAAAAGTAGAAAGAATGAGAAATCAATTGATTTCTGTCTTTAAAGAAGCAGTTGATAGATCCGTGGGGATCTGTTGCAACTGCGTATCTTCTTTTAATAGACAGAAATAATGTTTTGCAACAGTATCTGAAGGACATGAATTCCCACTCTGGAGAACAAAAAAAAATGTATATGTAATTAGAAATTTATCATCATAAAGATGCTAGAAACAAACTATATATGCAGAAATAGCAAGAAAAAGCCATCTTTATAGAGTTAGAGAACTAGGAGTGTTAGAAGAGAAGCACAAAGGAATACGTGTGAGACAGACTAATCTCTCCCTGCCAATAAATCTAACAACACAGGAAGAGGTGACTTCCTAACTAAAGCTAAACAAACCAGAATATAAAAACTTGTAAGTAACTGGAAAACACCCTCAAGCTACACAGTCCAGGCAGGTCAAACTTGCTCTCATTTTGTGATGAGGTCAAGTTAATCAGCCACATGTGGCTTGATAGCTTATTTTGTAAATTGCTTCAGTAGAACCAAATCAATGTTTGCTAGCAAGCCGCACAGCTCAGCTTCTGACTGAACTGTGTTGTGTATTCAGGAAGGAACAACAATTAGAAATACAGTCATCTAGCCTTCAGTACTCTCCACAGTAGTGAGCCAAACCTCATTTAGCTCCAGCTATAATTAATATAACAACTAAGTTTCCAAAACCCAAAGCAGAGAACACCTTCAGGCCACAGCCTTCTTGATGAAGTCTGTTTCACATCTAATCTGTGCTCTCAGTCCAGCAGCTGAGCACATCTTCCTTTCCACGCAACCCTTTCAGAACAATCATCAGGCAGCATCTCAGCAGGACACATTTTCAATGGAGACATGACATTTATATCAACTTGAAGTCTGTTCTACTATCTTAGAATGTGTTAAATGCTTTTGTAAGCTGTTCACTCAAACTGAGCATAGCTCTCTGCACTCAAGCTTGTCCTTGGCTGGCAGGCTAGGGCTGAATTGTACTACAATGGTGTTTTTCTTTCTTTCACTGTTCCTTGCAAGGGCTAAACTTACATTAAAGATAAAAGAAGAAAGCAGCAGAGCAACCTGTGCTCAGGGGTGACAATCTTGCTGATTCTGAAAACTGCACATCAATAATTTCTATGTAATCACATGGCACGATGGAATATGAAATTCAGTTTTATGTGTGAGAATAGACAACACTGCTCAAATCCCACAGCTCCATCACAGGACAAGTGAAGAATTACCCAACACTTCCTGCAGTTACCACACAACAGACAAAAGCTGAGAACAATACCTGGCCTGTCCATCAGAATTCTGGTGCTGAGTAAGATACACAAGCTATCAGTGAGCAAGAAAGACTTCAGATGGAGACATCAGTTCTTCACAACTGAACTACTTGACCTGCAATGAGTTTAAGCTCTTATTACGTTACCTGGAAGAAATCTCACAAATCGCGGCATGAAGTGAAATCTGGGGCAGGAAACAGAATCATTTTCAAGTGAAGGACCTTAAATATAAAGGGAAAAAAAAAAAACATGGAGAATTTATGAATAGCAGCATATTTGCAAAAGAAGAAAAAAGAAGGAAATCCTGTCCCTTATAAAGTCAGTGACCAGTGATTACATTTGGCACTAATTTCATACAGAAGAGTAGCAAAAAGCATGCAACAGAAAAGCAACTTTTAATAAATGCTTCCACGTAGACAATTTCAAAGGAAATTCAAGTAGCTTAAAAACTGAAGAATCTAAAAACCACAGTATTCTATTTAAAACTGCAAAAAAAAATGTCTTATAAATTTTATCCACTTCAGTTTCAGAGGCAAACCACCAGTATTTGATTAGTTAGTTCCAGTTAGTGGTTTGTTTGTTTGTTTTTTCCTGTTATAGTAATAAAAATAGTAAGGAAATATCAAAAGACAGTGTTTTCTGTTTTTTTTTTTTCTTTTTTTTTTTTCCTTTCCTGTTTCATCATCCAAAGCCTTGCACAAAAATAAAAACAAAAACAGTAGGCACCTGCCATTAAAAAAAGCAATCAGAACCAGTGGTACAAAATAACATTAATATCTGAAGACATTTAGCCAAAAATTACTACACAAAATGTATATTTGTGTGCTCCTCTGTTTAACTACAAGTGTACAGTATATCTCTATAAAGAGAGGACAGGAAAATAGCTACACATGCTGAATTAAAATTCCTTTGAATTTCTCTTTGTTTTCTTTTAGACCAAGGGAAGGATCATTCCTGAAATTCTCCTCTGCCATAGCCTTCACAGGAACACACATTTTCATCTCAGCAAGTTAAAAACATTGTGCTATAACTCACCCTTCTAAAGCTGTCTGCATGATACTGCTTTGTGAGCTGACTGTTGAGAAAAACTGCATGAATACTTGTTTTTTAGCTTGTAAAAACAGAGGATATTTTACCTGATGCCTTGTACATGACAATACTCTGCCCACAATACTGTCTAATAACAAACAGTAAGTTCCATTACAACAGACAGTTTTTGGATTAAAGAAGAAATTTAGTTTATCTGTAGGAAAATAATGCAAGATTTTTGTATTTTAATTGCTATAATCCCCACTAACAACCTCAATAAACTTCACCCTCTTAAAGAACAAAGTGCAAGATTGCTCCTCTCACTTAATACAGCATTTGACTATTATTTTGAGGCCACTCCCCAGCTTTTTATTAATGTTTAAAATATAAAAACATAGCAAAACAGAGGTCAACTTTCCAAGTTTTTTTTTTCTTTTTGGAAATTTTTTTCTTTTGGAAATGAAAGTTACCTTTAAGATTCCAGTCATACAGCTCCAGAATATCTTTGAATAGGTAAGAAGAGAACAGCTCAAGACCTTTCACACAAAAATTCTGTGGAATAAAAACAAACAGGTTTATGATTACATAATATTGTAATACAGATAATGCTACCATTGTCTTCGTATTTGTCAACTGCTAGAAATGAGGTTTTGGAAACAGCATTGATGCATCTTTAATCATTTACTGCAGCACAGTGGTCTAATCAGAAAAGCACTATTAGGAAAGCACCATAATGAAGATTCTGTATGTAATGCCTACATCCACCATATAGGCAGAAATTACAAACATGGTAATCCACCACATATCTCAACACTTCCTCCTTAGTAAGCTCATATTTCTGAGAAACATTTTTAATATTCCCTTTTTCCTTCATGTTTATAATAAAAATTCAGAAGTTATCAGCTGTAGCATTATGATCACTTCTTCCATTACACCAAGACAGTTCAATATAAACAGAGGATTATGACCTTAAAAGGCAGTGGGGTTGAAGGGGGGGAGAAAAAAGAACAAAAAAATCCAACTCTTGCTCATCAGATAGGGAAGTAGATCCTCCATAGCAAGGAGCTTTCAATCAGAAGTGACTTTACAAAGTCTTCCTGAACAAACAAGACCAGATCAGATCAGGACAGGACAACATAAGTAATACATGTATGAAAATGGCCATAACTGCCAAGTTGAACAACTCAATCTTTCACAACAATGCATCAGTAAAGATGGCTTTAAAGTAGGATTTAGCTACTGGGTGTCAGACCAGGAGTCCAAAAAGACAACACACCAGATTCAGTAACAAGAAACGACCTGCACTGATCACATCAGTCTTGCTGAGGAATTTCAGAGATCTTGCATATATTTCAGATTGTGCTGAACAACAAAAAAGGAGATAACTAGAAAGAAAGATGCAACTATCAGACTAAAATACTGATCCCATCTTTGTAGTTAATATGCAGGGGTATTTCTGTACCTACATCTGCTGTTCTAATGCAATTTAATTCACAAACTGACTTTACCAGAGATAAATTTGTAATTTAAAAAAAAAAACCAAAACACAATAGATTAAGAACTGAATGTGCTTTGTTTGTATCCACCAGAAACTTGTTTTGGCAACAACTTATAGTAAGTACTGATAAGTGATACTTAGAGCTTCGTATTCAAGATTAATTTTCAGCTTGGCATTGACTCGTGGGTCTGGAAAACCAGCACCTCCACATACATTAGTTTTGTCATTTGTAAAAGAATGATAATGCCTAAGTTGGTTCACAGATAGAGTATCTGGCATAACTTACGTAACTTAAAATGAATAAAAGCACTTCTCACTATTTGATTTTAATATATGATAGCCTGGGTGGATGGATTTATGCTAGTACTTCTGAAAGAAAATTCCTTTTCAGACATTCTTTCAGAACATAGCCTGTCTCTTACCATCTTCTCTACAAGAAGGGATTGTGAAGAGTTTAATCCATTAACAATGTCAACAACTCTTAACCCACTCTGACTTTTTTGACTAATTATCCTTCTTACCTCAGGCATCATCTCTTCAATGAAATGAATTGTATAGTCAATGTTAAATCTGATTACTTTACACAGAGGAATCTGGAAGGAAAAGAGATTCAGCATGAAAAGCTACATAGTGACAAACGTACAGTTAATACAATTTTGTATGCAGGGGTATTACTGTCTGCTGAAAAGGGAACTTACTAAAACAGCTGCTTAGTGGGATCATACAAAGACAGGAAAGCAAGCATTTGCAAGAGAAATGCCAATTTTAACCTCCACCTTTGATTACACAGGACTAAAGAATAGTAAAGTAAGATAAAATAATGCCATCTACTGGAGATAAAGGTTTCTTTAGAAGAAAAAGCAAAGTTCAGTCAAAAGTTTCCACACTTGCTCTCACTTGCATATTTGGAAGTGAACTTATTTTTGGTGACACAACATGTCAGACAGATGCACTAACAGGAAAGCTGTTTTTAGTATGTTGACACTTCTGTTAGCTACGCAATTCTAAAACACTGCTCCAAGTGATGAAAACACAATCCAGGAACTTTCAGGATAAATGTAAAAGATGTGCATAATTTCATTCAGTAAATAAATATTTCTACAAGTGCACTCACCGAATTAGTAAGATAAACACACAGTTCACTTCTTTGCCTACGCTGGCAAAGTCCACAAACTGCTGAAGGCTGTTCTGTGGCTGCTGATTTGTGCATCTTCTTGGATTTACATTTTTAAGCCAAAAAGCTACATTTCTAAAAAACTAAGATGCTTAATCCTGCTATCCACTGCCCTTGTGAGTGTAAGAGACAATCTCAATCACTCATGAAAGCGAGAAAATTTGTTTATTTTGCACTGATATACATACAGAGATTCAAATAGTGTGAGAGTTGCACTGGAATCAATGAACCTAGAGCCCAAGCATTCTACTTGCATCTTCTTGAAGCAAACAGTTAAACACTTACCTGTTTTGTCTACATACACCCTCCGATGACAGAAGGATTTATACCAAACAACCAAATATAAAAACTGCATTAGATTTTATACAAAGATTTCAGCCACTAAATTATTAAATGTTGTAAATAGAATAGTAGAGAAAAAAAAAAAGTATGCTAGTTTCATCTAGAATGTGAGAGGGAAACCTGTCCCATTCAAATCAGTGATGCTTTAAAAAAAAAAAAGTATACAGGGAGTGTTTTCTTTTTAATACACAAGTTCAAACAGGATAAAATGTTTTCATACAGAGACTCAATAGCCTGAGTTGTTTTTTTTTTCTTGCTCCCATGTAGAAAATGAATGCTTTGGAGATATGACTATGGACAAGATCTCCATTAACTAGAATTTTGTTATGGCAGCTATACTGAAAGTTATGTACACCAAAATCTTCTTAGAGCCAGGTAATCTCTCTCCCAAAGGTTCTATGCCTATTTGAAACAAGAACAGGCTACAGTATCATGTTGTATTCCAGTCTGTAGAAAGGTAATCATTTGCTGCTGACCATTTCCCCCAATGGGAATGAGAAATTACTATCAGAAATTGCTATCTGATCCTTGCCTCAACACGTGTACTTCCCAATAAGAATCAGTTTAACATCTGCATTGCTTATGTCACACGAGAAGAGGTTTCCTTGTTTTTTGTTTGCTTTTTTGTTTTCCTAACACTTTGCATTCTTGTCACATAGCAGGCAGTGTATGATAAAGATAAGGTGGCCTCTTTATCCTTTTAATAAGATAAAACAACATAACTGTTCCTATTTGCTCATTTGCAAAATGAAAATAAGGCCTTGGGCTAAACCTGTCTTGAACCCCAAGGCTGAGTAATGCTGCAGGGCAGGAGTGCAACACAGTGCTACCCCCCCACTAGCTGACTACCACTGATTTGCAGAGCTCTTGTCAACAACAGACCTTTCTACTCACCAGAGCTAAAGCATTGTCATATTCATAAGATAAGCAAACTATCAGTCAAAAATCCCTTTTTTTTTTTTCTCCCCAGTGTCTCTTAATTCCAGTATTCTTAGATTGCAGTCCTGTATTGTGACCATTTTTGTACTGAGCTTTGACATGGATGGGGAAGGTAATAACAGGTATAAAAAACAAAGAAATAGTATCCCAGAGCATTTGAAAAAAATTCTCAAAATATCAAGATATAAAAAAAAAAAGGTACAGATATTTTTAATTATTTGTATATTATTTTGTTCTGATATGGTTTATACTGCAAGAGCAGAGTTGTCTGGTATCAAACCTTTTTTGTTGTTATATTTGCTTTCATCAATTGCCCTAAAAGCTTACAAGTTTTAATAAGAAATCATAAAGAGTTCAGTCACTGAAGAAATCAAACAGATGTTAGAAAGTAATAGATATGCCTAAGAAATTTTTTTGAAGAAATCCTTTCAGAGAGGATATCTCAAAAAAAAAAAAAATCCAGTATCCATTTGTCACTAAGAGAAAAAGTTTTAATTGTTTTTTAAACAAACTTTTTCAATTTAACAAAGCTCCTCATCCAATTTGAAGCCAATTAACAGTTTTAGCAAGTTATTCCATGATTTTACACTTTCAAACTGCAAAATGTAAAAATATGACTGTGATGCATGTCACAGTCTGTCACAGTTCGAAGGCAATGCCTACCACCATTGCATAAGACAAAACCTGACACTCATCAGCTCAAATGTTCTCCTCCTGTCTCCAATGCTGGCAAAAAGTTTGTAACACCCGTTGGAGTGAAGTTCTACTTCAGGGCAAAAATAGTTTGCCTCCCAGACAAATCCTGCATACACTGCAAGGAGTATACTTACGTTTGTTAGTGGAGCATGTGAAAACATGGAGAATCCTTCAAATATATATTCGTGGTCATCATACTCAATAACCGTAGGTCTGTCTGTCTAAAAAGGTAAGCAAAAACAGCATGGAGTGAACAAGAAGCAGTACTACTTCCACTCTGAAAACAAAATTAGAGTTCTGGTTAGAATTATTTTTAAAGGACTTACTAAGAAGTTTGTGGGAGGTGACACCGTAATTCGATAGTGGTACAGTCTTCCAGCATTGTTGGTCATGGGGCGACATGGTTTAATGGGCTTAAAGAAAGAGATAAGTAGAATTATATGCAAAGCCAAGGCAAATTTAGATTAAAAGAGAGAATAAAGCATTTCTAATAGCCATGAAATGTACACTAGGAAAAATTAAATAAAGAAGGTTGTCATAATTAAGGATTCCAGGAAAAGAGAAACTGGCTATATCTATATAGTCACTTCTAAAAATAGTTCTAGTGATATTCAAACCAAAGAAGTGAAAAACATTGCTGTAATTTTTTTATTTCCCATCTGACTCTTCATGTTTTCTACAAAGCAGTTAGCCATTTACACAGCAGACTGACTTCTTCTTTTATACTAAATTGTTTCAAGAAGCTGATTTTAAAACTTTACAGAAACAAACTTAGGCCATGCATAAGAAGATCCGAGTACATTATCAAGAGACAAGTACTCACTCACCTGCTGGTGGTAAACCTGGGCCCTGAAGAGAAGGGTCCATCCCTGGCAAATGTAATTTTGCTCTGTCAGCTCATAACGCCTGCCTGTGAGAATGGTACACTAGGAGGCAGCTCTCCTCTGCACTGAACTGCTGGGGACTTGTGACCTGCTCCAGCTTCTTCTGAAGCAGTCCAGTTTAAGACCTAAAGATCTAAAAACCCCTTAGCAGTTTGACAAAACCCATTTCTCATGTCTGATGGGCTGCTATCAATCTGTGAAGATATGGCTATCTGCAGGGAAAACACCTGTGACAAGAGGGGTGCTATACAAGACAGCCCTATAAAGTTGGCCTGCGACACCACTGCACAATTCTGTGCCATTTGCAGAACTCATCCACAAAACACAGCGGTTACTCTGCTCAGATGCAGGCTATGCTCCTCACCGCTGTGACAAGACAGTTACAAACCACATTGTTTAGAAGCTAGCCAGGATTACCTGAAGGATAGGAGAAAAATTAATATATACTAGATTTTCTGAAGCCTCACATTCTTAGTTGGTCTCACTCCTTCATGCAGCAAGTTTTATTTATTAGTTTTCTCCTGGTAAAGTTCTCTTCCTCCTTGCTTGCAAGAAAAATACTCAAGACAATGTGGGGAGGAATTGATCCTCAAGTGATTTATGGAGAGCTTCAGACCAAAGCCATTTTTCTGAAATGGAATAATTTATCCCTTGCAACAGTAACATTCACAAACCCTCAACTGCAAAGAAATAAAAGAATGTTTCACTAAATGTTTTGGAAGGCATACTGAAAAACTAAATCCTTAAAGGAAATCTACGTAGGTGAAGTGTAAAACTACATGCTACTTTTCTTAAATGTTTACAACCACGCTGCTGGGTTTTTTTGTTGTTGTTGTTGTTTGTTTTTGTTTGTTTGTTTGTTTTCAATAAAAACCTTGAGGTGGTCTATTTCCAGAAACACAGCCCACAGAGCAAATGAATATTCCTATGGAAAACCACCAGTATTTTGACAACATTTTCCAAATGAAGGGCACTACTGTTACAAATGTTTCAGGAAGCTGATGGGCTCAATTTTTCTCTAATTGAGTACTAATTAAAAACTTAAACCGTTTGACATTTTGTAGTGCAGACGTGCTTTCATCACCAAAGCAACACCATCTCCTGAAAAGCCTGCTGCTCCTCCAGAAGCAGATCTATGGATTCATTTATTTTTAAAGTAAAAGAGGGTTCTTATAACATACTCATCCTCTTGACAACGGGAGATTTTTCCTACATTCTCCTTTTATTTTAAAAACCTACAGCCAAGCACCAATGCGCAAAAGTTTTCTGTAGTTCTCACGTGATTTAATTACCAGTATTCCATTTTTAAATGTGAGGTTACACAACGTGATTTGATTTTGCAGAGAAGCTGTTACTAAGCCCGTATGCCATGGAAAAAAAAAAAAAACAACAAAAAAACAACAAACAAGCAAAACTTACGAACCCAAGTACAAGTTCACTGCAGTAAGTCTGTATTCAAAACTACAATCCTTAGAACTACTTACCTCTTCACCAGGATAAATGCCATGTCTTATCCCTGTTCGTCGAGCTTTAGCGCTGCACTTGCACAGCGGTCCATCATTCATCTGTCAAAAACAAAATAGGATTCTGTTTTTATTGAAAGACAGTAGGTGATTGTGTCTGGAAAAGTATGTTGGTTTTAATGCCAAGAGTGCTGATGCTTCTAAAAGCCTGTCATGCTTAGATTAAGTGGATGCTCTTAAGCCAGTAAAAATGGAAACAGTATAGACTAATGTAAGAAAAACACACAATAGCATTATAACTCCACGACTGTTTCAGAAGCACAAAAATGGGAAAACAGTGTCAGCAGTACTATACAATTCTGCTGTCACATGCATTTTTCCATATCATATACACAGAAACAGCACGTCTGTCTAAAGTAAAAATCAGGCCTTAAAAATGCACATGTAAATACATGCTGAAATCTCTGTGTTCAAACAGTCCCACTCAGTTCACACACTGAAGCCTGGTCCTGATTAACCCATCTATAACACAGTAAGGCCTTCAAACAAGGTACATAAAGAAGACCATTTGAAAATTTTACGTGGTACTTTAAAGTATCAGGGAAAACTCAAACGCATCCTGTGAACAGATTGGTAAAGAAGAGAAAATGGGAAAACATCCATTTCAGTATTCCACGTGGGTGCATGAAGTACCTATAATTTAAGAGAGCCACAGCACAAAGTACAAAGCTAGTGTCGGTCTTTTCACCTTTAAGGCACTCAATGCAAACTGTCAATTGCTGCAATGCACTAAGGCTTTCTGCTCCTAACATCACATCCATTGCTGAAATCCAACAAAACACAGAACCAAGCCAGAGAAATGAGCTAAGTTCTGTACCTCAGGCTTTAACGGAGAATTTGAAAGTTTGAATCCAAGAAGCGAAGAAGATTTTTAGACCTAATATAGGAATGCAGCACAAGAGCCAGCAGGACTTTCCATACCAGTATAAGAAGGCTGAAAATGTAAACCCCAGCAGGACTAAATGTCATCAGACAATAGACAGGATGTGAAGACACTCCAGGAAGTAAGAACCAGCAAACTGCTGCTACTGTAGCCTTTAGACTATTGGGAAAGGAACACAACTTTCAGCTTGCGGTGTTAATTCCCTGAAGGTTCATCTCAGTCTGGTTTCTTCAGACTGCCACAGTAGATGCATAATGTGTGCAAAGAAACATCAGAAGCAGAGCACCCATTTATTCCTCTGCGAACTTACGCAGTGTTATTAAAGTGACACAATGCATTTTGTTAATTTCCTATATCCCACACTGAAACCATTGAGGAAAGCAGAGGTTTCACAAAACTGATTGATGTTTATAGGTAAATACATACTTCCACACTGGCTTATATAGTCACAGAGCAGCTAACTTAAATAACTCAGTCAATAAAGAATCGCTCAGTACTCCTTGAAAAACAAGGGCCTACTAAAGCTATGAAAATAGCCATAACTTCTGAAAAAAAAACTCCTTCGTTCTTAGAACTGTTCAGCATGAACATTGGCTCTGTTACATTAAATACACAGAATGAGACTGATGTACATGCAAGGTACCCATAACACCCAGGGCTTGAGAAGCAAGTCAGATACACAGGACCAAATCTCAAGAAAATTTAGGAAGGAAAGTTTCTCAGCAGGAAATTCATAAACCACACGTTCCTGGAACTATTCATGCAAGTTATGCTACTTCATGTTATGGGCTAGCACACTACTTTGAAATATGCCCAAGAGCAACACACAGTTTTTTTCCACTTAAATGCCTAAACAGTTTGCTAATTTTGTTTTCCACATACATAAAAGCAGATAACTTACTCAAATTATTATTATTATTATTTTTTAAACTAGAAGCATAAATACGAGTTGGCAATAGAATATTCAACAGACCTCTGAATTACCACAGAGGCAATAAGCATTGCAGTATCTCTCAGCATTATGATTTGCTGCATTCTGGACTCATGAATCATACAAAGTGCCAGAAAAACAAATTTACTGGGTTGCCATTTGACAAGGAGTTAGAATACACCATGAAATATTTAACAAAGAAAGATGAAGATGGCAAATTCACTAACAAAAACTAGTCTTCTGTGCAATGTATACATTCAAAACAACATTTTGTGAACTCAGCAATTACATTTAATGAGAACTATAATCTCCACACAATTACAAAAGAACCATTAGACAAGAAATTAGGAGCATTAACAGCATATTTAAAATATTATTTATCATTACGAGCTGAGAGCTTTTAGGTGAATAATTTGTAATGGAGATAAACATACTGCCTTCTCTCGATCCCAGAACTCATCTGTGAACCTTTATCTCAGCAATAATAGGCCAGAATTAGCACACTGCTAGCAGTTCAGGTTTTATTAACGCTGTCAGATGTGATTCCAGCCAAATACTCCACAAGAGTCATGATCTGGAACCACACATTTGGAATCAAAAGTTAAGTGTTATGAAGAAGTTGAAATAGAAAAGGGAAAAAGCGGGGAAGTATATTGAAATAGATGTCTCAGCATATCTGAGAACAATGCAGAACTTTAAGTCCACAGGGGAGAAAGACTTTCAGAAACAAAACTTCCTCCTCTCACCATACCTGTCCTGGATCATTGTACCACAGTTCCTCATGAAGACGATCGGGGTGTGCTTTTTTACGCTTAATTTCTGCAATGACATCAAAAACTTCTGAATCCGAACTGCTAGAGCAGCTGCTGTCATCATCAGAGTCACATTCTGACTCACTGGAGCTCTCTGATATAAGCAGGGAAAATAAAGTTAGTTCAAAAACACTTCCACATATTCTCTTTTCAGAATTCTCTAACAGATCATAGCTCATAGTGGCAGAACAAAAGTTTAAGTAGTGCATGACATTCACCCCAACTAAAAATGCAGTTGCTGTCATTTTCATTAAAAGTGATAGCACATGCTATGGATATTAGAAGACCTACATCCATGTCATCTGTTTGCAGTTTGGCTGTCCAGTGGTACCACTCATCAGTTGCTGATGAGGAATTTCAGTTAAATGACTTTAAAATGCTTAATAAAACAAGACTATAGACCAATACAAATATTATTCTAAAGTTAAACAAAAACAGGGCAGCCTGGTCCACTGGTTGGAGACCTTACACATAGCAGGGGGTGGGAAATTGGATGATCATTATGGTCCTTCTCAACCCAGACCATTCTATGATTCTATGAAAAACAAGATATAGAAAAGAGAAATAAGACAAATTCACAAGAATGAGCTAAACAGAACCTCTTGCTTTTTAAGAAAAAAAAAAAAAAAAAAAGATTGCTTTAAGTGTTCACATTCAGTTTCATTTTACCTACAAAATGCTTCCTGTCTGTAGCAGGACAGGAAGGTCTAGTCACAACTTTCAAAACAGCACGTACGGATACAGCTATTAAAGGATGCATGCTGTTAGTCATTTTTAAAATCAAGTATCTCTAATAAATCAGTTATCGCATTAAAAAAAAAAAAAACAGATGAGAAGTCTCGAAATGACTGAAAAAAGCTGCTGATGAAACCTGAACGAATTCAGTCTTAACTTCCACAGAAGCCCTGTTAAATGAGCTTTCCTCAGTTGTTTGGGATTTTTCGACATTTTCTTTGTATTTACTGAAACAATTCCTCCAATATATCAAAGCAGAGAAAAATGCTGAAGAAAAAAAATCACAGGTCTCACACTTGCTAAAATATCTCCTTTGCACTGCTGTCAAAGTGATGGTACAAAGTAATGGACTTAATCCGAAAACTTAAGGGCCTGAATCTCACACAGATTCTTCCTAACAGCGTTTCAAACAGTTCAAAGTCTGCCCACCAGATGTTCAAGGCAGCAGTTTTACTGACTGCCCCCCCACCACCCCGACTTCACCAAGAATATTCTACCATTTCATGGCTGCTCTGCGCAAGACAGCTCCCAACCTCACTATCTCCCCCCAGTCCTTCTCTGTGAACAGCAGGTCTAGTGACACACCTCCCCAGTAGGCTCTCTTAACAGCTGTGTCAGGAAGTTATCTTTCAAACACTGCAGAAACCTCCTGGACTGCTTCTCTGATAAACACTAACAAGCTGTGTAAGTCTAACTTAAAGCGCGAAAACAGCGTGGGACTTGTGAGAGTGAACTGGAGTTCTGAAAGTTCAGTGGAGAATTTTGAACTTCATGTATGAAAATCAGCCCTTCACAATCAAAAATTACTTTGGAGCACATTACTCTCACTAAAATGCACAACTACTGCTAATGAAAGGCGCAACAGGGGTATTTGCCTAGCTACATAATAAGATAAACTATTAGCCTCAACAGAAGCATTGTTGTGAGAGAAGATTGCACAGGCACAGTGCCACAGGCCCAGGGTACAGTGCAGATGGGGAGCTATGGAAAAAGAAAAACAGCTAACATTGCTCTTGGCCCCGTCACTGTTATCCTGGAACAGAGAACCAACACTTTCAGTGAAGATCCAAGCAAAGCTTAGAGAGGTAAACTGGATGTAGTAGTGTTGCCTCTCAATCGTTTACACGAAAATATATCTGCTAAACGTGCAGTAGACTTTGCTGGTGATTCCTGATTGAATTCACACATGCAAATCTGCTGTTCAGAAGAGTTTTCTCTACACAGCTTAAATAAAATAGAAATCTGTTATTGTTTGTTTTTTGTCCTTTCATCTTTCTCTTATCAGTCAGTTACGTGGTGGCAGTTTAAAATGTGCATTATACACACCCATATTTCAACTTAAGAATTTTAGGTATTTGATTGCTAGGATTGCTATGCTCAGATCTGAAAGAATATGCAGCTAAACAACCAAATATGAAGTATCACTTAGAAAGCAAGCCCAACAGAATATCTAAGACAGTGTGATATGCTTAAGAATTTCTTAAATTACTTTCACAGCCATAGAATCCTAGAATGGCCTGGGTTGAAAAGAACCATAATGATCATCTAGTTTCAACCCCCCTGCTATGAGCAGGGTCACCAACCAGTAGACCAGGCTGCCCAGAGCCACATCCAGCCTGGTCTTGAAGGCCTCCAGGGATGGGGCATCCACAACCTCCTTGGGCAACCTGTTCCAGTGCATCACCACCTTCTGAGTGAAAAAACTTCCCTCTAGTATCTAACTTAAACCTCCCTGTTGTTGTTTAAAACCATTCCCTTTGTCCTATCACCATCTACCCTCATAAAGAGCTGTTAAGAAAAATCATACTATGTAATGCTGAAGGGCTGGAAATACACTAACAACTAAACAATTCCCAGTAAACAGAATCAGAAAAACAGCTTTCAGTGACTTCAAAGTGTTATAAAAAAGCATGCCCTGCTATTTCAACCAGTATTTCCCCCAATAACTCATACAGCTAGCAAATTCATTTCACTGCAGAAGAGCCATATAAGAACCATGATAATGCAGATAAACTCTTTTGAAAATTAACACTTCTGCACAGGATGATAATAAACAGAGTTACAGAACAAAAACACAGTGCAGAAGGAAAATAAATACAGTGCCATAACAGGCAGTTATATGAGTTTATCATCCCTGCCCCTGCTTCTTTTTTATAAATACAGAGAGTGCAAGCTCCTCAAAGCCTCGAGCACTACACTTTGGCTTAGCTGATCATACAAAGGGCACTTCCATGCCGTGGAAGAGACTTCAGCCTACGGCAGTGCTGGATACTCTCCCTTCCCTTAAGCTTTCTAGATAAAGCATGTAGCTCTACTTCAGTCAAAATAAAACTCCACGAACTGCACTATAAATGATGATTTTAAAAACAGGTATTAGCCCACTGATATCACCAAAACCACGCAACTTCCAAATAACAGGTGATCTATAGGTTGCTCCATTTCAAAGCTTTGCTATCATCTCTGCCTACCAAGATCTTCATCCAGCTTGGTCTTCGGTGGCTCCCATGGCGGCCTGGCTGCCTTGGCTTTTGCCTGTCGTTTTCCTAGCTCCTCCTCAAACTTTTCATACAGATCTCGGAGCTTGCTTGTGCCTACCACAGTAGAGTCCCCCTGTTAATTAAAGAACAGGAAAAAAGCAAAGGCAGTGGTGACACAAGAGAACAACGTGTATCAATGTTTCAAAGTAAGAAGTGTGGGCAAAAAGACAAATCTCAGTGCTGTAGTTTAAATGAAGTACAGAAATATTTGATAAGGCTTAAGTGTATAACTACATTGCTCCATTAGGTGAATGAGCAGAGAATTTCATTTCTTGGAGAATGATCATCAAACCATTGGCCAAGCCAAGGAGAATTACAGCTAAGCATATTTAATAAAGCTGCATACTAATATCTAACAGCTCAGATTCAGAAGAAACAAAAGACCTTCTGTGCAAACAATTTTGCAATTCACAAGAACCATATCATGCCCTAGAAACACAGAACTTAGCCCATTTTGCTGCCTACTTTGAATTAGTGATTTCACCCTCCATTTAATTCTCAAAAAAAAAAAAAAAGAAAAAAATGAAGATAAACCTCCTCACTCAAACACTACTTCCCCGCCGTGCCAGTAACCACTACTGGCAGAGAAAAAGAAAAAAAATTTCCTCCTTCTGCATAAAAATTTTGTCAGTATTTAAGGGAAGATGGGGCAATTTAGGTAGTTTTGCTCAAAAAGAGCAAAGTGAGACAAAGCCCCTCTTCCATGTACCAATAATCCAAATAAAAAGACATAAAAGAAACTGATGAAAATAGAGAATAGATCTCTAAGGTTTTTTCTTTTGTTGAAGACTGAGATGCTTGGGAGGATTCAACACTGAATGACACAAAACACAGTTCTACCAAAGAGTTCACATGAGCCAAGCAATCAAATAATCAAAAATAGACAGTGTGCAGTAATTTCAGAGATGTCAGGAATGTACCACTTGATCCATAGGGTCATTGGAATAATAGCTTTCCGAATGGGTACAGCGAACCCAGACTGGTTTAAGTAATTCATCATCTTCATCTTCATTTTTTTCAGATGCGTTCTCCTCTGACTCTTTGTCTTTGATACTAGTGTAATTTTTTTCTTTGTTGCCACTCTGGCTCTCAGACCACCTTTCTCTTTCTTCCTCCCATCGGGGCCTTTTCCTTTCTCTGCTTGGAGAGCGGCTTAATAGGAGAAAACAGACAAAACCAATTAGTTTTTTATTATAAAGACAACTAGGTAGCTTCCAATAAGCATACAGTTCTACTAGATGAATTACATCAAAGTCTAATCGCCTTTTCCAGCTTTTAACTTTCCACTGTAATAAATACTTTGAAGTTTAGATGTATTACAAAAGGAGTTAAAATTACAAGTGCTTTCATATTCTGAAACCTTATTCAAGAATTAAAACAGAAAAAAAATGTTAGGTTAGATTAAAAGCTTTACTTAAATTTGAGAAGAGCTTTTTAATTTTTCCCCCATATTTGAAGTCCATCTGCAATTCCATAATGTGATGGAAAGCACAGTAATGATAGTGGAGTAGCGAAGTCCCAGGATGCAGCAAGTGAGGATATGCTCAATGCAGCAGCTGTGGGCACAGAAACTAAGAAAAAAAATCTGCTTACCATTAGAAAGCCTCAGATAGGCAGGGATCTCCAGCAAGATAGCCTTGCCTCCACTGTCAACCCTTGAATGGGGTTTGGGAAGGGGTGGATCCTGGCTCCACCCTTCCAGTCCTTCAGCTGCATTGCAAGCACCTGAGCTCCCCTGGATTCGCCTGCCTTCCCACCAGTTGCTCAATCAATGTTTCAAGCCCTGACTTAGCACTTCTATTATACCATCAACTAAAACTTAGAGTGCTATTAAGTTTAAATATATAGCCCGCAGACTATTTGTATAAGAAAATATCTAAGTTTTTACTGGATTATATAGAAAGCAAACTGCTTGTGTAACTCTAATTCTTGCAGTTTGATCAACACCAGTTGTGATTTTTTCTTTTCTTTTTTAAACTTCTCTGTCTACAAAGCCCATAATGTCGCAGTGAATTCAACTTGCCAAGATTTAAAAGGAAAGGAGCATCAACACAAGAAAAGCTCCTAAATCATGATCTAAAAATTAAATGACTCTAAGAAAACTTGGTACTTTACATACACTTGGAGCAGATGTAAAAGAGAGTATGGTATGCAGCAGAGTACCCAGAGACTGATCCTGCTTCTAATTCTACAAGGCCTTTATATAAGCACGACATTTGTAAATTTGTGAAGAATGGTTATAAATCTAAGATTCATCTCTGAGTTTCAAACCAGGTATGTATGCACATATTCGTACTTTCAGAGCCTCATAAAAACAAGGGAAACCAAACATGTCCTCCTTACCTTCCTGTTCTTTTATAATCTTTTTTGTAGGACCTGTCTGGTGATGGTGATCTTCTGCTGTCACGGTGCCTATGCCTGTCCCTCTCACGCTCCCTTGAAGAATTCAAAAACAAATTAAATGAGAAATCTGGCACTTTCATACGTTGCACGCCTGAAAGGGATATAGAAGCAAACTGAAATCATGTTATTCTGAATGACATGACAGTTAATAAAGTCATCCATCTCAACAATACGTAAATTCAAACAACACAGAGGTATCTTCGAGACATTCACCACAGCACTTGTTGTCATTCTTCCTGTTCTTTGGTGACAAACAGAGAAGGGTAAGATTATTACACCTTTAACCACTCTTCATGCCTCAAGGCATGGAACAAAATCCTATTCCACACACAACTTTGGAAGTACAGCAGTAACTCAAGTATTTCAGGCAAGCCCTTTTCTCCTGACAGACACACACACAGATACAAAAAAAAAAAAAAAAGGTACACACTAGGTCTGCATCACAACAAAACCATGACTCTCACCTACAAGACTCAGCTTGCACATAACACAATGAACTGGGGTTGGAGCTTCAGGATCCTTGGGGTCCCTCCAAACCCAAGCCGTTCTGTGATTCTCTGAAGTTTAGCAGGAATTACTGGGTACGTTAAGTGTCAGAGATATCACACTCTGGCACGTTTCCAGACTAACAGCTGACAATTTGTTACTCTACAATCATATGTGTAACTGTCACACTTCCTAGTAAAAGAGTCTGCCGATATACAAGGGATCATACATACATACCTCAGGTAGTTCCGTGGGCTGTTGTAATGATGAATCATTTATGAATATATGCATGTTTCCATATGCATATGCATGAAATAACATGCAATTTTACAAAGCACAGAGTTCATACAATTTATCTACTGGTCTTCCCTACACTCGCGAATTCTTGCTCAAGTGTAGGTATACTGTATATCCTACTGCCCTCTGATTTGCTTGAGAGATTGATGCTGCGCAAAAAGAAAAACCAAGGCAGGGAAAGAACTGCCTTTACAATAAACAGATACATTGTAGATTAGATCTAGAAACTGTGGTCTTTAATAAATAACAGGCCAACCTCTGAGAAGGAAGCTGCTGGAAATACATACTTTCAAAACTTAAAACTGAATTTTTCAATCCAAATGTAAACTGTGAAATTATGTGGCAAACATCTGGGTATCTGGGTCATCCATAAAACACTGAAAATTCCACATGCTCATCATACAAAAAAGTCTTAGGGAAAATCCTTTTTTTGTTTTTGGAAATCAGATTAAGATCAACCAAATTGAACTACACTTAGTACATGCGCGTGCTTTTTTCTGTCTGTTTGTTGCTGCTGTCTTTGTATTTTAAATACAGGTGTTGTAAAATTTCTGCATTTCAAAATCCAAGTAGTTTCATTATGACAGACACTAAGTATAAATTCATATTACACTTGAAAACACCAGGTCTTCCAAAATTAGAAGCATGTGATCCAGCTGCCCCGATAAATTCTACTTGCAAGTATCTCTGTGAACTCTCACACAGATCATAGACAAAAAGAGCAAATGAATTGATGGTTTGCTCTAGAATACCACACAGCAAACTGTGCAAGGTCAGCTCATAGCTCTCAGTCTGATTCTATCTGTAAAGCAGAGGGACAGAAACTTCAAAATACATCCCATAATGAGCACTCTGCACTCATCTACCTGAATCAAGCCACATAAACATAAACTTCTAGGTAAATCCCAATGAGGTCAGAGTACTGCTCAGCAATCCACTTTTTTCAAGGATAAGGGACCAAGTGTGCCAGTCTGCAAAGGTAAAGCAGAAAGAACATATCTGAAACACAGCACAAGAGCAGCTCCTTCCATCAGAGCCGAGCACTGGCTATGTCCCACAGTGTAAGGGAAAGCAAGGGGGAGCGAAGAACACAGATTCATAAACCACAGAACAACAACCACACCTCTCCCACTGCAAGCAGAAAGTATCTCTCTACCTGCTACGCTCATAACTTCTATGATGAGGTGACATTCTTCCTCTGTCATACTCTGTCCGGTGCCGACTGCTTTCCTGCCTCCTCCTGTCAGGACTGCGGCCTCGATCCCGACGATCCCCGTGGTTATTGGACCGATGCCTGTCACCGTGGATGTGACTGTGCTCACGATGCCGGTGCTCATCGTAGTGCTTGCTCCTCTCCGGAGATCGTCGATCACTTTGTGATTTTTCTCCCTGGTACTGACCCGTGTGCCGAAAATGGCTGCTGCTGCTGCTGCTGCTACTGGTAGTGCTGCTCTGAAAGGAGCCAGAGTTGTGCTGATAGCTATTAAAGTTAGGTGGTGGGAACGACTGTTGGGAATACCCTGTGGAATACACAGGTTGGTAGTTGACTTGCTGTGGTATGACTGGTGGTGGGGGAGGATGGGGTACTGCGGGAGGAGGCATCATGTATGGAAAGGTGCTCTGTCCAGTAGGAGTTGCTGGTACAGGAGCACTGCTAGGGGCTGGCACTGGTGGAGGAGCGGGAGGGAAGCATGGAGGCACTGGGAAGCTCTGCCTCATCTGATGGTTTGGAAATGGTGGCCTCATGGGACATTGGTTAATGGGATTTTGTGTGGAAGGGGGAACCGGTGGGGGATATGGAACAAAGTCTGGCCTGGGAGGCATGTAACTGGTGGCTGAAGGGTTTGAATAGGTAGCTGAAGGTGCAGCTTGTTGGTCATACTGGTACTGTACAGAGGGCTGTTGGGGGTGAAGCTGCCGCAGGTTCTGAGGACGATAAGTCTGTGCTGAAGTTCTTGCTCCTGGTCCCCCCTGTCCACGGGGACATCCTCGTCCAGAATGAAAAGACATGGTTCACCTTTAATGAGGAAAATATAAAAGTTAATTGTACAAACCTTTGTAGAAGGCCCTCAGTATATTTGCAAGAACTGTTCCTGAAATAGCAAAATTAGTTTCTGACATTTCCTTTAATAGAAGCAGAAGATGGCAGTCTTTCAGTGGGAGCTGTAACTTTTCAGAGCTCTAGTACAGGTCATTATGGCCCTCTGATTTCCTTAAGTCTTTAATCCACTACAGTAGTTTACCAATAGTCTTTAATCCAGCACTCCAATTAGACATGGTCTCTGACTTAGGACAAAGTTAATTTTAACAGGTTACTGCAAGGACAGGCTATGGTTGCGAGCAGCTCCACTAGTATATACCAGATACATCAGTATAAAGACTTCAGATACCCTGTATCACCATAAAAACCAATCATGTTAGCATCTTCAACAGTCACCCAGGTCCTAAAATGAGGAGATCTTTCTAGCACACCATTCTAGAGTTCAGGTAGGAAGACTTTTCTGATATCTCATCACAAGTCACCCGGTCCTACAAATCATACACATTTTAAATAAGCTAAGCAGCAACTAACATTCATGATTTTCACCCCAGTTTATCACAGGGACAAATTCAACAGATGTTTTGCAATACTTTAAGTTAGGCAAAGGTCTTTTTGTAAGATGAGAATCTAACAGTCACCAAAAAAATTTCAGTGTAGGCTGCATTGTTACTCTAATGTAATTGAAATAAACAGTTCCAAAAGTTCGTAAATTCAATTCTTATCTTACCAGTAATTGCCACTGCTTCAAGTAGGCTGAAGTTGTGTTCAAAACTATGCACATATGTAATGCACTGTATTAACTGACAAATGAAAACTACTTTGCTTCATAAAAGTTAAAGTTCATTCTTTAATTAAAATTCCTAAGTTTAAAACCTGCAGAGGAAAAAAAAAGAAGAAAGTAAAATAAAGTTTTTTTTTTAAAAAAAAAAAAAAAAAACAAAACACTCATAGAATCACAGAATTGCTCAGGTTGGAATAGACCTTAAAGTCTTCAAGTCCAACCACAACCTAATCAAACTACCCTAACAACCCTCCATTAAATCATGCCTATGAGCAGATGTCATGATGTTTTCCTTGAAAAGGAGAGAAAAGTTAAACAGTTAAGTAGTCGCATAAGTCAAGCCTTGTTTTCATAAAAGATCAAAGAACGGCTTGGGTTGGAAGTATCCTCAAAGACTGCCTAGGTCCAACCCTCTACTATGGACAGGGCTGCCAATACCAGCCCGGCTGCCCAGGGCCCCATCCAACCCGGTTTGAACATCTCCAAACATGAGACGCCCACAGCTTCTCTGGGCAGCTGTGGCAGTGCCTCACTGCCCTAGGAGTGAAGCATTTCCTCCCTAAGACCCAACATAAATCTTCTCTCTTTAGGTTTAAAGCCTTTCCCCCTTGGCCTATCAATTGGTCCTGGTGATGGGATTTGTTCCTTTTTCAAATGGAACAGAGGCCAAGGGAAAGCTGAATTTCTAGGAAGCAGCAGCCACAGTGGTAAATCTATTTTTCCCTTCCAGTCAGCAGTGCCTCTCCAGCATCCTTGCTTCTATAAAGGCTCTCAAGAAAACCCACAGTTCATAGAATCATAGAATGGTCTGTGTTGACCCCCCTGCTATGTGCAGGGTCACCAACCAGCAGACCAGGCTGCCCAGAGCCACATCCAGCCTGGCCCTGAATGCCTCCAGGGATGGGGCATCCACAGCCTTCTTGGGCAACCTGTTCCAGTGCATCACCACCCTCTGAGTGAAAAACTTCCTCCTAATATCTAACCCAAACCTCCTCGTGTCAATTTAAAACCATTCCCCTTCGTCCTATCACTATTCACCCTTGTAAAACAGCCATTTCCAATCCTCTTTATACGCTCCCTTCAAATACTGGAAGGCCATAACGAGGTTTCCCCGGACAGCCAGAGAACCATTTTGACTCCAGTACTTCCATAGCTGCTAAATACCCAGAATAACAGATAGAGCCCCTTTCCTCCTACCACACAGAGCACCAAAGCACAGCCTTCCCCTCCCCCAGGCCCACAGACAGCAGGGCAGCTCAATACCCGAACTCGGATCACAGCCCGCTATCCAAGCTCTCTGCCCACTCTCAGACCCCCGGCACGCAACCCATCCCACCTACCGCCGCACGGCCGCGGCCAGCCCTGCCCGCTGCTCCGGAAGAGGAAAGCGCGGGGCGGGCGCAATGCCGCAGGAAGCACCGCCCCGCCCGCCATGAGCGGCGCTGCGGCTGCATGCGGGCCCCGGCCCCGCGGCGGGGGGCTGCGGTCGTACCCTGCGCTGCCGGTGTGGGTGGTGGAGGACCACCAGGACGTGAGTGGCGGCGTCAGGCAGAGCGCCGGGCTTGCGGGGGGAGGTGGCGGTGGTGCAGTCAGCTCGCGTTCTGTTTTCGTCTAGAGATATGTGGAGACAGCGTGTCGTTTTCTTAGCCAGCCTGTTTGTGGCTTTGTTCTGGCGGCCGGGAAAGTCGTTGCCCTTGAACAGAGGGAAGCTCCACTGGCTGCAGCTCTTGAGTGGAGACTTCCAGCAAAGGATGAGGTTGGGCAGTGGGAAAAGCACGTCCAAGTCAAGTCGTGTGGGCATCAGGAGTTAAACCTCTTCTTTGAAGGTGGATAGGTTAAATTATCTGTTGTTCAGTTTTCTTCTCTCACAGGGCAGTGAGGTGCTGGCACAGCTGCCCGGAGAAGCTGTGGTGCCCCATCCCTGCCGGTGCTCAAGGTTGAATGGGGCCCAGAGCAGCTGAGCTGGTGCTGGCAGCCCTGACCACAGCACAGGCTTGTGGCTGGGACCATTCCAACTCAACCCGTTCTATGACTATGATAAAACCCAACAACAGCAAGCGTCTAGTTATGGAGCTGATTATTGAGAAGAGTTGCTGCAAACACAGTGCCTTATAAAGAAGGAAAGGAAGTAGAAGCATAATCTGACAGCTTCACGTGTGTAGAGCTCCAGGGCTCAATGATTGTGCCTCGTGAACTAAAATTGCTGCCTCTCTGTATGGTTTGCTGTCTCCTTTCTCTTTCAACATATAACCCAAATTCTAAGGGAGCGTGAGTGGGACTGGTGTTTCTGCTCTTATACCTGTCTCATTGGTTACAGTGGAAATATGTGCTCTTTTAGGTGCTGCCTTTCATCTATCGTGCGATTGGTTCAAAGCATCTGCCTGCCAGTAACATCAGCTTTGTTCACCTTGATTCCCACCCAGACCTCCTTATCCCTGTGAATATGCCTGCAGATACCGTGTTTGACAAAGAAGCACTTTTTAAGTAAGTCTCTTGTGCTGCATCAGAATACATTGTCCACTTCTGGCTATACTTGCTTTATGTTGAATATTGATACAACTGCATATGAAATATGAGCAACAGGTGTGTAAATCAGCCTCATGTTGTATTTTCTTTATTTTCTGTTCAAAACTTCATAGCTGTGGATAGAAGAAGAAGTTATGTTTCTTTTTTGAATGTGGTCAAATGTTTATGTTGCATATTAGGAAGATGTTAAAGCTTAATTAATTTACTTTTAGTTCACATTATCAGACTGGGCAGTTCCTCTGAGTGGCAGGACAGCACTCCAAATGGATGCTTTTCAGTGAACTGCAGGTTTTAGAACAGCTTTTCTCTCTTAATGGTGACAAATTGACTGAGATTAAAATAACATTTCTTTTGCTGACCTGGTGCATCTGTGAAGTTGAATATGATAATTAGGACCAATGTTTATCCCGATCTGCTCAAGTGGGGAACAGGGGTGATCTGTTTTTGTCTATTATTTCCTATTTTAAAATATTGATTGTTCCTGTGTTACACTCGTACACAGCAGTGAGAAGAGGAGATAATCAATATATTAGCAATTGTGTCACCCTGCCCATGGTCCATATTTAGTTTTCCTTGCTGGATGAATGAGAAGCCTTGTGGACTATACATGAAAAAATAGGATGATAAGAACAGATGCTATTCTGTAGGTGCTGATTGGCTCACATTCACCACTGAGGTTATATTTGAAGTCTGCTTAGAGCAACACGCCATAAGATACTCCCTTGGGGTCAATTATGTGGAATGGAGTTCATGATGCACCTTGCAGTTCTACTCTGTCAGGTATATTCAGAGAGAAAGACAAGAAGTCCATGTAGTTAATAAAGAACCATGCTAAGAGTGAAGCTGACTGCACTTCATAATCCAATTGATTAATATTTTTAAAATTTTATCATATACATTTTTGGTTCTTCTTACAAATCAAGATTTCAATCCTTTCTCTTTTCTTTGCTGGTACGACCTGTACACAGAATGTTAACTTCGGATGATTTGCATGGGGGTGTTTGTGCTGTTCTTGACAATGTTTTACTTGCTGGTAAAGTAAGTGTTATTGCCAGTCTTTCTCTCATCATTACAGTGAGCTAAGTATTGAGAACTGGATTATGCCTGCTGTTTATGCTGGCCATATTTCTCAAGTGGTGTGGCTTCACCCGCCGTGGGCTCAGCAGATCTCAGAGGGAAAACACAATTTTTTAGTTGGGAAAGACATATCAACAACTACAATCAGGTAAATTGTTTGTTATCCAGTTCTGGGAACATAAAAGCTATGTGCCATGTATTTTATATTCTCGAATTAATATAGTGATACATCTTCTTTTCTCAATGAAAATTCAGTTTGTATTTGTTAATGTTTTGGGGTGTCATGTGATTGTTTGTTTTAAGAGGTACAGCTTAAGTTGTGCCTTAGTCTCTTAGTCTCTGAAAGGTAATTCAAGTTATTTACACTTCTTTGCATTCAGCCAAGTTTTCAATTAATTCTCTTTGATAAAATGAAAATCTTAGAAAAAAGGTTTTTCTTTGGAGGATTGGAGTAACAGAACAGCACTTAGATTCTCCTCAGACGTCCCTTATCAAGATGAAACAAGCCCACTTGTTCAACTTCCCCTTGTCATATGCTCCATCCAGCCCTCTAACTTCCTTAGCCATTCTCTGTTAGATCCTCTCAGTTTGTTGACATCTCACATGTTCTGGGGGTCCAGATCTTGGCGGAATATGTCCAATGAGACCTCAGTGGTGCTAAATACAAGATGAAATCTCTCTTTTCGTTATGGGTTTGCTAGTACATGAAATTTTGCAATTAGTCTTTATCATTGTAGGCTTGTATGGATTGGTTGCACTCACTTTGCTTTATACTTCGACTGACCATTCCTCTTCTGTAGCATCCTGCTGGTGTGTGCCAAGCTGGTACTGCTGCATGATGTTATTCTGTCCCAAATGCAAGACCTTTTCTTTATCTTAGTTCAGTGTAATGAGGTTCCTGTAGGCTATTTCTCTGGGTTGCCTTAGGCCCCTCAGGATGCCAACACTGGGGAACTGAACTTCAGGTTTCTGCTGTATCTGAAATTATTTAAATGTGGCAGATGGATGGTGATACCCTGTAATTGATAGGGGCCTTAACACAAGTGCATAGAAGTTCACATTTCCTCTCAACATTATTTCTTTAATCTGAATTGAAGGTTTTGCACTTGGGCCAGAAGAATCCCAAGCATTCATAGAGACTGGAAGGGGTAGTCCTTGGGAGCAGCCCTGCAGAGAAGGACCTTGGGGTCTTGACGAATGAAAAGCTTAACATGAGCCAGCAGTGTGCTCTTGCAGCTCGGAAAGCAAATGGTATCCTGGGCTCCATCAGAAGAGTGGGGTGGCCAGCAGGGACAGGGAGGTGATTGTCCCCCTCTACTCTGCTCTTGTGAGGCGCCATCTGGAGTACTGTGTCCAGGTCTGGAGCCCCCAGTACAAAATAGACAGGGAGCTGTTGGAGAGGGTCCAGAGGAGGGCCACAAAGATGATCAGGGGACTGGAGCACCTCCCCTACAACGACAGGCTGAGGGAGCTGGGCTTGTTCAGCCTGGAGAAAAGAAGCCTGCAGGGTGACCTCACTCCAGCCTTTCAGTACCTAAAGGGAGCCTACAAAGAGGAGGGGAATCAACTCTTTGAAAGGGTTGATAACTGCAGGACAAGGGGAAATGGTTTTAAGTTGAGGGAGGGAAGATTTAGGTTGGATGTCAGGGGGAAGTTCTTTACAGAGAGAGTGGTGAGGTGCTGGAACAGGCTGCCCAGAGAGGTTGTGGATGCCCCATCCTTAGAGATGTTCAAGGCCAGATTGGATGGGGCCCTGGGCAGCCTTGTCTAGATTTAAATGGGGAGGTTGGTGGCCCTGCATGTGGCAGGGGGTTGGAGATTCATGATCCTTGAGGTCCCTTCCAACCCTGGCCATTCCGTGATTCTGTGAATTTATGGCATGTAAGGCTTAATGTGGTGAAATATGGCTTGAAAACAGTATTTTATTTTATTTTTTTTTGCTATAAGTGAACTCTAGGTTTTGGGTTGTTTTTGTTGTTGTTTCTGTTTATAAATTAAGTGGATTCTGTGGATATGTAGCTATTCATCCTTGTTACCTGCTCTCCTCACACTTAGAATAAGGATTCATATTTCAGGGTAAAAAGCAGTTAAATGCTGTGTATTAATCCATGTTTTATTGACATCTGTGGGTTCCAGAGCACTTCTCAAATGCAACCGTAACGATTTTCCTCACAAAGAAAAAAGTGATTGAAGGCAAAATATCCAGTGATTTGCATTATTATCCCATAAAACTGATTGTGTCTTGTCAAATTCTTGATGTAAGATACAATTCATTGGCACGTTAATCTTAATAGAGCATAACATAAATCTTTCTTACTCACTAAAAATCTTACAGGACTACTATCAAAATTCCAGAATGAATTTTAATACATTGATTTAGCATTGAAGAGATAGAAAAAAATCCCATTTAAACACTTGCAGATTAAAGTAAATAATTTTGTATACACAGTTTTATTGCTTTTGCTACCTATCAAACGTGAATTAATTTTTCTTTTGGTGACTTATTTGCAAAGCTTTTTACAAAGATGTGTATTAACTGTGAGTTATTGTCTATTGTAGGGTTACAGGTACAGATCATTACTTTTTAAGTGATGGTCTTTTTGTCCCCGCTGATCAGCTAGAAAATCCAAAGCCTTTAAATTTACATGTCATCCTCATTAATCCTACTGAAGCATCAAACAGCCAGGAAGAACATGACAAAGAAGCATCCGCTAAGAGACTGAAGCTAAATACAGATGACACAGCAAGCACTGCTGCTACCTCTTCATCAGTGGCTCCTG